TCTACTAGTTGGAAAGATATATGTAATGTTTGGACCAACTTAAGAAAAGGTCTATTTTGGACATAGGCAAAAGGCTTTAAAATCAAATTCAAGGAGGATTTCTAGATTCCTAGTGATACAAGACTTGCAAACTTATTTCATTATTGAATTTACATGTAGCTTGTTTTATGTCAAATAATGATTGAGATTAGGATTAGGAAAAATTTCTCCTTACATTTCAGTCCAAACTAAATAGATTCTCAACAATATAATCATTTCAATATAAATGATGGTCTTGATGTGGTTAGTTAGTTTCCCTCTCTTAATGGAAATTTTTCTTTATTTTCTACTTTTACTTTGTTAGATAGATGAATGAGTTATTTAGTTTGATATGAAAGTGGTAGAGACCTTAAGAAATTTAATTATTTCTTTGGAAGTTATCAATGGTAAACTTTTAACTAATGAGGAGAGGGTTAAAAGGGGTTTTATAAATTCTAACTTATGTAATCAATGTTGTAAAAGTTTTGAAATCATAATATATATTTTTAGAGATTTTGATTTTGTATATGATATTTGGCACACTTTTATTGCTGAAAATCATTTGATTCCTTTTTTCAATTTGAATTTTACTAGATAACTAACTTTTAATCTCAGACGTAGTTGTTTAAATAGTATTAACCACTATAATATACAATTTAGAATTGTTATATGACTTTTATAGTTAAATAGAAATGATAGGATTTTCAATAGGAAATCTTTAAATTTAAAGAAATTTATATGTAAGTTAAATTATCTAAATACATTACAACTACAACTGATATGTGTGGTTTTTGATTCACATCTTAAAATCACGCGTGTTGCTTTCCAATTATCAAGATTCAACTGATATTTAGTGCAAGTTGTTTTACACTTATATATTTTAACTTAGACTGAAGTAATCTTTGTTTAACTCGTATATATTTTATGTATTTTTAAGATTTATAAATAAATAAAATTTTAATAAACCTTTAAATATAAATATATTTAGAAAGTACTTTTTATTTCTAGAGTTTATACACAATTTCTTCTTTTTAAATCTTAAATTTTTTTTTCTGAATTTTATTTTTACTTTTGCTTGTTCCAATATAGTTGTTTTGTATCCAAGATTTTTTTTTTATGCGTGCAAACTTTAAAAAGTTCATAAATATGCATTATTGTTTTACATGTCCTTAAATTTTATTTTATTTTATGTTTTCCATTAAGAAAATTTTTTAAGGACTTCTTTATTAAATAAAAAATTATAATAAAAATAAATATTAATTAATTAAATTAAATTAACTTTATTTTTTTATTCAAAAAGCAATTTAAAGTTGTCACTTTTGCATAAAGAAGGCATGTATTGTGGAACAACTCAAGTGAAACCATCAACCATAGTTTGTTAAAGAAGATGGGTGAGAGTGGCAATTTTAATAAAAACATATTGTATTTAGTAAGATTTACGGTGTTAATGTTATTTTCTTCAAATATATTAGCATATTGGACTGTTTGAAAGGATTAACATAAAATTAAAAGAAAATATAGAAGGGTAAATTGAACAATAATTTAATTAAAATAGTATAAATTTTTTTAATTATTATTTAGTTATGAATTTTAGTATAGTAAAGATTTATTAACTTTTGTAATAATTACTTTAAAAGTTATATTTAAGATAACTTTAAATTAGTTAATGATATAAAAATATTTACATTAACAATATACTAAATTTAAATATAAGTAAACAAGTGTGTGTTTGAATTTGGATTAAATTATTTTTAAAGATTATGATACGATGGACAGACAAAAAAAATTGGTGTGATTTTTTAAATGTGTTCGATAATTTGGATTAATAAAATTTTATAATCTTAATGAATAAAATATTTCTATTATCAATTATACATAAGTTTTTTTTTTATATTAACAATATATAAAATTAAACTTAAATATTTTGTTACAAATAAAATTTTAAAATTATGATTAAAAGTGAACAAAATTTTTTCATTTAGTTCTTATTTTTTCTATTTTACACCCAACAATCAATTAATTTAAATACGAAATCAACTATACTACAAATAGTTTTATATCCTTTTTGCAATTTATAAAAAAAAACAAATTATTTTATTTTTTTTATCCATCACATCTAAACATAATTTATTAAATTAATTAATTATTAAAATAATCTACAAAATAAATTTGTCCAGATATATACTAAAGTTATAATTTTGCCTGAATCCTTTGTGTTATACTGCAATCTTGCCTGAATTCTTTGTCTTTTTTCTTCTTCTTCTTTTTATTGGTGATGAGGCGACAATTGTTTATTTTTTTAATAAACAAATTAGTCAATTAATTAAATTATATTTTCAGACTGATTTGATGACAAGGAAATTGTTTATAATTATGGAATATTCAAATCAAGTAATTAAACAAGTTAATTTCGAATAAACAAATTAACTAATGTCACTAATGACCCATCAAACAATAAATATGCATTTTGACGTTGATAATCAAACAAACATTTCTGTGACTGAATCATATTTTTTTTCTTATTCTTTTCACCTTTTGAATCTGCAAACCATAAAATAATCCTTCAGTTGGATCTCGTAAGCAAACACTACCCATCATCAAACAAAAACTACTGATTATTTGGATGCATTGTCTGATTCAGTGTCACCATTGACCTTGATGTTTTGTATTTTTCTTTAGTATTTTATTGTCCTTTTACGCGTCACTGAAAAAACTGATTTTTTTTTTAATTCTTAAAGCAAATTAGGTGATAGGTTTCACTCACAGTTTTTAGTTAAAATATCAAATTAACTTTTACTAGTAGGTATTTCCTACATTGTATGGATAGTTATAAATACTTGAAATTTAAAAAGTGTAATTAAAGAACTTATAAAAATTATTTCACTAGTAATAAAAATATAAATTATAATATAAAATATATTTGATATCTTTAATTTTAAGATATATTAAAAATTAATTTGATTAATGGAATCATGTTTTAATGATGATTTATAAATATCTCATTACATTTAATATTGATTGAAGAAATTTTAAGTATTAATTAAAGTTAGTAAAAATATTAATTTGATTTGATATATGGGCTCTATTTGGGTAAACTTCTAAAAAAGTTTTTATAAGAAAAAATTAATATATTTAAATGAAACATTTTTGATAAGTTAGAAATAAGTTATACTTTTCTATTTAATTTCTATAAAATTTAAAGAGACGTATTATTTTTAATTTATAAGAGAAGTTCTTTAACTTATGCTCAATATTAATTGAAGAAAGTTTAAGTTTTAATTAAAATAAGTAAAAATGCTAATTTGATTTGATATATTAAGATCATAAAATACATGTTATAAAATGATGAAAATACGTAACTGTATAAGGGGGGAAGTGTGTAAAAAATATATTATTTTCAAGATTGTAGACTCAAACTTATGATAAATAAATAAAGTAAACTTTTTGAGTATGGCTTTGTCACCTATATTAATTGAAATGATTGAACGGAAATATTTGAGCTACATTTTTAAGGTAAGTAGATTCCACCTTATCTCTCTCTCTCTCTCTCTCTCTCTCTCTCAAAAAAGGAAAGCATCTCTTTGGTTTTAAATTTTGACATAACATGCATCTAGAGGATCAATACCGGTGACTAGAGCTACAACTATAAAATGGCCACCCAATTGATGATTGATCATATACCATAATCTAATCTTTGACTTGAAAAAATCTCCAATTTCATACACTCAGCAATGTCCTATCAAATGGTAAAGCAGTGGAGTATATATATCACTTTGTTTATATTTGTGGACCAAGGTTGACATTCTAATTGAAGAAAGATTCCAGTCCAATTTTATCTACGTGGTTACATTTAATTCACCAGCTTAATTTCCATATAGTAACAACAGGTAAATTAACAAGGTGATGTCTGAAGAATGAGATTCCTAAAATGGTCCTATTTATAAGGAAAACATGTCAAAATTTTTAAATATACTAATTGCTAAATTCTTTTTATAACCTTAATTTGTTATGAAGTTATGTTAAATAAGCACTTACCTATTTTTCATAAAAGCCATTGATTTACTCATTTAATATGATGAACATTTTTAGAATAATAAGAATAATATTGATATTGATAGTGTTTAATATTTTTATTGATCTTGATGAATTAATTGCTTGTTTCTTATGAATAGGATCACAGGTAACATTTAATTAGAATTTACATATTTTTTTTGTTGCATAAAATTCGATTTAAGATACTCTTTAGTTTCAGTGTACAAATTCACATTGAAGTTGTTGAATCCCCAGTGGGTGAGCAATATTATCACGGTATCATCAAGCTTGGGTGCTTGCATAATTAAACAATACATGGTTCTGTCAGGTTTGGCTTTGACATGATCAAAGCCCTTTATTCAAATGTTTGAAATTTGATTTTTGCGGGGTAGTTCTTGAAATATCATTGTATAAATACTACGATAAATCATTGTTAAGAGTTATGACTGGTAGAGTATGGTGATTTTGGATATGGATAATCTCGATTCCCTTTTGATTTTCATAAAAATAAAATTGCCAAAAGGGTATATTTTAATCCACAATAGTACAATTATAAGACAAACAAATTACTAGTTACACAGCAACACAGAATGATTGAGTATCTTATTTGTCAGCATTTTCTTATTATTCTTACATAATTTTCTTTTGTTATTCTCTCTCTACATCAAAGTAGGAGAGATCCAGAATAATTTGTCTTGTTATAATATAACAATAAATTTGGTACATGTAACCTTTAACTAACCCCACACTGCTAAATATCTGTTCTGGAACATGACACCATCATTATTATTTTCTAGCCCCAACATGCTGTTCCCCTTCCTTGGTATTAGAAGTTAAAACTGTTAAATAATAGTAAAGAAAAAGACAAGTACCTAGTGCCCATCTTCTTTTGGCAACTGGCAATTTGGTGCCAACAATGGATAATTGTTGTCTTTCTTTTAACATTATTTATCCAACATTTCAATCATCTTTTGTCACCACAAGCAAGTGGCATATCCATAGTAAATTTATTTTGTGACATATTCTAATATTCTCCACCTTCTACAATTTTACTCAACCATCATTTTCTATTCTATGCTGTTCTCAACTTCATCATCATCATCACAAAGTTCCAAGCTTAATCACCCCACACCCACAATTTTTCCAGTAAAAGCATTCTTGTGAAAATGTCAGAATCCAAGGAAGAAAATTGTGACCTTCCTCACAAGTCAAAGACACAGGAGGAACATGGCTTTGCCATGGATTTTGATATTGACTTGGAAAGTTCATGGCCTTTGGATCATATATCTTTGGTCTCTAATCCCATGTCTCCTTTTTTCTTATCCACTATTTCTGAACAACCTTTTTCTCCTGTCTGGGCTTTTTCTGATGTTGAGGAAGATAGGTATGTCAAGATTGCAGTTTCAGGTATCCCATCTCTAATTGCAACAGATCCTTATTTTGCTATTACTGTATGTTCTGGTTTGTTTCAGTTTGGATGTGGAATTGAATTTTGGAGTTTTCTTCAACTTTTTGGACATGCTTGATGCCTAGTTGACTGCAACTTGAATAGCTGCAACTGAACTTGCTTTGATTGATTGTGAAATTTAAGAGGGCCTAGAATCATATTTTTCAATGTTTATTTTTATTTGAATTTTTTTATCTATTTCTTAGCTTATACTCTATCCAAAATTAAAGGAATTTTAACCTTTTAAAAATTATTTTCCTTACTGTGCTTGAAGTTCTATTGGAAGTGGACTGTTGAGAAACTTGATTAAGGCATACATGAAATATGGACGAACTTTTGGTCCGTTCGTTGCAATTTCCTGTGCAATACCAAATCTAACAAAACTTTGCTAAATATATTTGCCATCCCGGTTTAAAGATGAAATTTCTTTTCTAAATTGAAAAGCTAAACTTTAAAGCTTCTTGTGTGTTCTCTTTTTTTTATACCTTTCTGGCGTTCAAGCTATCTCATATTTGGAGGCCACGGTTTTGTCCATATTTCCTGCTTTCTTGGGACTTTACACAATAATTGCCTATGTATGAAAGATGTATCAATGGCATGTGTAGTTATTTATAAAATTAGAAGTTTTAGCGCCAAGTTTGGGTAAACTTCTTGACAAACACTTTTAGGAGAAGAAATTGAGGTAAAAGGAATAAAACTTTATCTATAAGTTAAAATCAAGCTATGGACTTCAACTTTTAAAAATATTTAATGACATAGCTTTTTAAAAAGTTGGGACAATTTATATTCTCACTCCTTGAAGTTTAACAAAATTTAATCAGATGCTCCTTTTTTTTTACATTATTTTAACCTCCCATGATTTATATAACTGCATAAGAAACTAGTAGTTTTTACAATCCAGAGGGGTATGCAGTGTTATGTTATTGCATAAAGTAAGGGAGTTTGTGTAAAGTAAAAAAAAAATAGGGGTATCAAGTGAAATTTTGTTAAATCTCAGGCAGGTGAATGTAATTTGTCCAAAAAGTTAAGATTGAAAGTTGATTTTAACTTATTTGATGTATTTTACGTTTTTATTTTCTTCTCATATAAGTACTTCTTGTAAAGTTTAACTAAACTAGGCCTAGATATAATATGATACTGATCTCAAAGATGTATTACCATAACTGCATAAGTTTTTCATACTATATTCCAATGACATCAGAAGTTAAACATGAACTTGTAGTTTTTGTTGACCCTGAAGTTATTCTGACTGCTTTCAGGTAATACAAATACAGTAACTGAAAATCCAGCAGAAAATGCTGACACCAAAAAAACTGTGTCATCCCTTGCAGAAATGCCACCTTTAGAAAACCCAGATGGTTATTGTCTAATAAAGGAAAGAATGACACAAGCACTTCGCCACTTCAAAGAGTTGACTGAACAGAATGTTCTTGTTCAGGTTTGGGCACCTGTGAGGAATGGAAACCGGTATGCACTTACAACTTCAGGTCAACCATTTGTTCTTGATCCTTATAGTAATGGACTCAACCAATATAGAACAGTTTCCCTCATGTATATGTTCTCTGTGGATGGGGAGAATGATGAAATCTTGGGACTTCCTGGTCGAGTTTTTCAGCAGAAAATACCAGAATGGACTCCTAATGTTCAGTATTATTCTAGTAAAGAGTATCAGAGGCTAAACCATGCTCAACATTACAATGTTCGTGGAACCTTGGCTCTCCCAGTGTTTGAACCTCCAGGACAGTCATGTGTTGCTGTACTGGAGTTGATAATGACTTCACCAAAGATTAACTATGCTCCTGAGGTTGATAAAATCTGCAAAGCCCTTGAGGTTGGGTTTCTTTTGAACTGGACTTTTTATTATAAAATGCATGCTTATATAATACTATTGTTGAGATGTCACCACGTCGATTATAGATATGGCTAAAGTAGAGTTTATAAAAGCTAAAACAATTTTTACCTTATGAGTTAGCTTTTGGAGATGGGACTAAGCTCAAATTTAAGATGGTACCAAAGCCTATTATAAATCCGATATTGGGCTAGCATTGACTATAAAAAAAATAATCTGACCTCAGATTTTTCAATGCAACCTACCTGACCCTTCGACTTTCCTAGTATAATATATAGATAGATAGATATAGATATAGAATCAGTCCAATAATCTCTACACGGGGTTGAGTTAGGCATAAATCCAAATTTAAAACCAGTAATAAGGGTGTCTTGGGTCTATGGATTGAGTTCAAGTCAAATAGGATAGAATTTGCATCTGATGTAGTATGTTATATGTCAAGAGTTACACTTTTAGTCATATCATTTGAAATCAAAGTTGATGCAAGCTCAAATCCCAAGTTTGACATGTTTAATGTATCCTTCAAGATTATGATATACCCAGAGGATTGCAAGGGTGCATATTAGGTCTATGGGTTGGATTCAACCTAGTAGCCCATGTCCAATGGCTTAAATAGGGAAGGACTCATGTCTAATGTCAAGAGTTATACCTTTTTACTTATAGCTTAAGCTTTTGGTATGGTAATAAGCGCTCGCGATCATATTAGACTGATTTTGACAAAGTTAATTGCCATGAGATTATTTGACTCTTATTATTGACATGTTGGAAAATGTATATGATTACAAACATATTTTAGATTCCTGAGTTACCTGCTGTCAGTTTCCTTGCAGGCAGTTAATTTGAGGAGTTCAGAAATTTTGGAGCATCCATACAATAAGGTCGTTTTCTACTATCATGCATGATGCATCCCCTCATCATGTTTATTTTAAGATATTTCTGTTGTTCTACGACTGTTATCTTACCCCTCTATTGTCACAGATATAACTTGGCAATTCTTTTAAACCAGATTTGTAATGAAGACCGCCAGATGGCATTAGCAGAGATTTTGGAGATATTGACAATTGTGTGTGAAACTCATAATTTACCTCTTGCACAAACATGGGTTCCATGTAGGCATAGGAGTGTTTTGGCACATGGTGGTGGTCTTAAGAAGAATTGCTCTAGTTTTGACGGTTGTTGCATGGGGCAAGTTTGCATGTCCATAACTGAAGCAGCATTCTATGTCATAGATGCTCATACATGGGGTTTCCATGAGGCTTGTGTTGAGCATCACTTACAACAAGGTCAAGGGGTTGCTGGGAGAGCATTTTTGTCACAGAACATGAGCTTCTGTGGAAACATAACTCAATTCTGCAAAACTGAGTATCCTTTAGTACATTATGCCCTCATGTTTGGGTTAACCAGCTGTTTTGCTATCTGTTTACAAAACTCTCATACTGGAAATGATGATTATGTTTTAGAGTTTTTCCTGCCTTCTAGGATCACAGACTTTAATGAACAAAAAAATTTGTTGGGATCCATATTGGCAACAATGAAGCCACATTTCCAGAGTCTTAAGATTGCTGCTGGAGTTGAACTTGAGGAGGAAGGTTCAATTGAAATTATAGAAGCAATAAATAAAAGAGTTTTTTTAAGGCTTGAATCAATTCCAATTACTCACTCTTCTAAGTCACCACCTAGACTTGATGTCTCACCAAATATGAGGGAAATGGTGCCACTACATCCATCAGAACAGCAAATAGGGACATTCTTGGATGACATAAATGATGGCGGGAGTTTTGGTGATAGTACAGGTGGATGCATCAAGCAGAACGCTTCCTTAGGTTCCAATACGACAAAGAAGCCCTCAGAGAGAAAACGTGGAAAAGCTGAGAAATCAATAAGTCTTGATGTTTTGCAACATTATTTCTCTGGGAGTCTTAAGGATGCTGCAAAGAGCCTTGGTGGTATGTTTCATTCTCTGGTTTAACAGTTATAAGAAATATTTTGTTTTGTTATCTCTATGAAGGTGCAGTTTTCTCTACTACAATGAAGTGCATAGGAAATATAGTAAATAGCACTAATTCTGTTCTTACTATACCTAAGTTGGCTCCTTTCTAGAAACATACAGAAGTTATCAAAGAATATACCAATCATCAAAAATACAAAAATTGGATAGGCTCAGTTTGGATAAACTTTTCAATAAACTCCTCTCCTTAAGTTTAAATAAATTTATGTACCTCGCTTATTTAAGAAGCTCTCTCGTTTAACTTCTTTAGAAGTTGAGGTGTATAACTTAATTTTAACTTTTAAGAGAAGTTTGATACTTCGATTAATTTTACCTTCCTATTTCTTCACCTACCAGTACTAATTGAAATCCAAACTGGGATATAGTTTATTACCAGTAGTAACTTTCATTTTTACTGATACCAGCTCAAACATATAGTTTTTGGATATAATCTTTCTGTGCAGTTTGCCCTACTACAATGAAGCGCATCTGTAGGCAGCACGGGATATCCCGTTGGCCATCTCGGAAGATAAAAAAGGTTAACCGTTCCCTATCCAAGCTCAAGTGTGTTATTGAATCAGTCCATGGAGCTGAAGGAGCATTTGATTTGAATTCTCTAAGTACAAGTTCATTTCCCATTGCTTCTGTTTCCTTCACTGAGCCTTCCACTTCAAACAAGTTCAACTACCAAGCCTCATTAAGCATTAGACCATCAGAAGCTAAGATGAATGAAAATGATTTGGATGCTTCCAAAGTGTCAGAAACAAACAAACAGGCTGGGACGGAAGATCAATTGGTAGGAGCAAGGACACAAAGTTTTGAGAAAGTGATTAATGATAAAGGTGGTTCCACTCAGGAGGTTGGCACTAAAGGCACAAACGAGTTTGGAGTTAGGAGTGGCTCAAGCGAAAGCAGTGCAAATCCTACTTCTCATGGTTCATGCCATGGTAGTCCCCCAAATGAAACTTCACCTGCAAAAGATACATTTACAACAGGCAACAGTGAGCAATATCTTGTGTTAAGGGGATCACTAGAGTCAACACTGTACTCTACTAGTACACAAAACTTTGCAACTGCATACCCTATGCCTAACGTTGTGGAAACAGAACTACAAGAACCATTTGGAGGGAAGCTACTTGAGGGTGCTGGTAGTTCTAAAGACTTGAGAAATCTCTGTCCTTCAGCAGATGCAATTTTGGAGGATCAAGTTCCAGAAGCTTGCAGGATTAATCCTCAATGTTCTGATTTGGCTCCTATACAACACATGGATAATCTTAATGACCCTATGACTCATTTTGCAGCTAGGAAAGAGATGAAGAGTGTAACTATTAAGGCAACATATAAAGAGGATATAATAAGATTTAAGGTCTCTTTGAACTGTGGCATTGAGGAATTGAAAGCAGAAATTGCCAAGAGATTGAAACTAGAGATGGGCACATTTGATATCAAGTATCTGGATGATGATCATGAATGGGTTTTGATAGCCTGTGATGCAGACCTGCAAGAGTGCATGGATATTTCAGGATCATCAGGAAGCAACATAATCAGGCTTGTTGTGCATGATATACTGTCCATTCTTGGAAGCTCTTGTGAGAGCTCAGGGGATTAGTAAGGTTGTATATACTTTTAATTTGTACTCCTTTGTTAGGATTCTTGTAGTCATGGGATGATAGTTTAAAACCAAAAAAAAAAAAAGAAGGATTTTATATGTGCAAATTGCAAAAACTTACCATTAGATTTAAGCATCTCCCGAGTTTAAATATATATGTATGTATATATTAGAATGTGAAAGAATTCACTTACTCCACGAGTAAGTTTGGAATACTTATTTCATTTAATAAATTTTTATAAAATATAAATTTAACAAATAAATAATTAAATCATGTGGTATTATTTTAATGATCATGAATATTAAATTTTAAATAAATTAAACATTGATGTGTATGTAATTTTAAAGCTGATAGTTATTTATATGTAAAAAAAATTATTGCACGTTAAAATTAAGCTCATCAATGAAATATTAACTAGTTTTAAAATAGCATAAAATTTTATATGCTTAATCTACTTCATAAAATTATTAATATAATGATTAAATTGATAAAATTCAACACTCATAAAAAGTTAGTGAAGTAAGGTTAACGTTGCCTATTCTTGAAATAAGTAAAAATAGATACACACATGCACTTACAGGCACACAAGGGATCCACTTATTCTTAGATAGGTCTTTTCTAACTTATTTCACTTAATGACCTCTTATATATATTATTTTTCATTAATCCTATAATTCAATTGAGTTATGTAATATTATCTTGAAGATTGTATGTGACAAATTTTAGATAAATTAGATATATATAGATATGTAATCTTATAGCCGATGTTTGTTTATATTTTCAAAAAAAAAATATTATAAGTAAAATAAAATTTTTTATGAAATTTAAAATTATTTTTAAGTTTATAAAACTTTGTAAAGTAAAATTACTAATTGAAAATTATTAACAGTTAGATTAATGAAGTTTAATATTTATAAAACAATATCAAACGAAATAAGTAAATTTTTTCCCTGCATACATATACATTTGTTGCAAAAATGTCATTGACGACTTTTCGTTAAAAATCATCATCAATAACTTTTAAAATTTTCCATATTTTTTAAATTTCCCATAACACCATATTTTAGTAATTATTCCTTTCTTTCTCATATAAAAAAGCCCTTTTAATCAGCATTTTAAAGGCATAGGTTAGTAGTTTTGAAAATTTTAGTCATTAATAAATACAGAAGTCAAAAACCCAATCGAGCAACTTATACAATGTTACCATTCTCTAGAAAAAGGTACAAATATTTCAACGTAAGGAAAGGAGTGCAATTTGCCAACAGGCGAGGCACTGATGATTTAAATTTTAAGGGACAAGCGTCATGGCATCATGCTAAACACCCAGTATCTAATGAAGCTTTGAATCGAGTCCAACAATCTTTCCATAAACTCTTTCAACTGAGCAAATATATTTTCATGAAAGAGCCCTTGTTTTAAAGTTGAGTAAAATTAATTTTAAATAGTTAATCATACCTAAAATATTTTGAAATTTATCTTAATCATAAAAAAAAAATTAAGAATGTGTTTTTTTCATTGAAAGATACAAAAATTAAATTTTCAACAGTAAACCAATCAGATACTATGTGCTAGTAGATATCAATCAAGCAGACATTTTTCCAGCGAAACTAAAGGCCCATTGAACAAATTATTTATAGTGTAAATCTTAGCATTCAGTGCATCAAAATTAAACTCTAAAATTAATAGGACAGTTTGAATTCAACTAGATTGTTCTGTTCGATGACATTAACCAAATTAGACACACATTCATTTTATGTCTGTCTAATTTAACATGAGTGTATGAAATAGAGGACAAACGACACAAACATGACATTTAAAAAGTAATAATATGAATCCTACACGAGGAACAAATTACACTTCCTTTTCTACAATTATATGAAGAGCAAAGACACTTGAAAAGTATCTGTCAGCAAAGCAGTCACATCCACTCGAAGCTATGATGGTTGATGTAAATCAAAGATGCAAAGACTCATCAACAAAAATGCCACAGCGGGATTTCTTCATCGATATTGTCAATAGCAAGTTGCCCTTGTGAATCTTTATGTTAAAATGGCTACACAAATTAACCCAGTCTGCCACTGTTCCAGCACTACTACTCAGACCTATTTTGGCTCAAATCCTTGTAAACCACACATTTACCGGAGCAATTTTGTGTTCTCTATCTTATCAGGAAAAACAGCTCCAGAATGTGATGTATGGCATAAAATAGGGCAGGGAAGGAAAGAAGTTAGGGATTAGCCAATGAATTAGTCCAACCAAATCTAAAGCAAATAAAACTGTGAATAGAGATATTCACGAATTTTATAGTAATCTTCACAGAGAGGACCTTCAATAACAATTTGTTGAGTACCAGAACCACCACCCTATAAGAAAAAGAAATTGTCTTAATAGATCAGAATCTTATTGAAAAACTGAACAGTCTTAGCAGTATCTGAAAAATGATCAATTTCCTAATGGAGCAAAATTAAAAAATGTTAAGAAGCAGCACTTGCCTTCTGAGTTGCATCCCCAACCTTTCGAAGAGTCACATATTCACCGCAACGTAAAGCCCCCCCGGCAAATTCCACCTATAAGGTAAATCATGTCATGATACATATTTTTATGAAGTAGATATTAAGTGTTTCACTAAATTTTTTCACTCAAATTTCGGTTGCAGAACACATTGTAAATAGCATTTTCACTGATTTTCATCAGCCTAAGCACGGTCCATTTCCATGAGGACAAATACCAGCATGTTTGTTGGGAAAATAAGGAAAATGAAGTGAAAACGTCACATGTTCCAGCAGACTGATGGAGCAAGGAGGAACCTGTGACTCAAACTGAAGAATTACCTGAATACCCTTGCTGGAGAGGAACTGCTTGAAATCTGCCAATTTCAAATCACCAACAAGAACAGATTTATGTGGAGGAGTTGTTCCAGAAACAGGAAGCAGTGAAAGCATGACATTTTCTGTCTTCCCCACTTCAGCATCAACCCATGCTATTTCATAATCTCCCAGCTGCAGTTGAATTCATATTCATTATACAAAGTGATAATCTTCATCAATTGAGATAAGGCTCAATAATTGTTTAATCAACATGACCAATGGCAGTCAAGTATATGAAATGAAACAGTTCAGACATATATTATTTACCTTTTTGAAGAGCACATTACTCATTAGCTTCTCAGATAGTTGAACCTGTACCCAGAAGAGCATAAAGTGATTATTTTTGGCAATTTCATATGTTATTTTTAGGAAGTGTATAAAATTTGTTAACATCGTACCTTATAAGCACATAAATCAGAGGTAACATCTATTGTCTCGTCAATTTGAGGAGCATAAACGTGAGGACAAACATGCTTCAGGCAGTGCTGCTTCAGATGCTCTGTAGCTTCAGCTGACCCATGCACCAAAACCTTCCAGAAAAATAGTTAAGAAATCATCATCAACCATTATATAAAAATGAGAAATCAAATTATATTATGATAGTATTATAAGTTAGTTCCTTAAACCAAGATCATCTGGACCACAATATCTAAACTATATTATGAAGTATGAACTATTAAGCAATTACAAAAATACACACAAAGATTTCTTGTATCACTTATATGCTGTATGTATGTCAAAGATTTGGAACATGTCTCCTGATATATAGTTCCTTTATTCCTAGTTCAGTCTTCAATTAATTACGATAATTCTTCAGTTCAGTAGGCTGTTGGCATCTTTTAATTTCAAGTAAACTACCAAATTAGTCTCACATTTTAGTAGGAAATTAGTCCAAATAGTTGTCAATCCTGGATAGCAGAGCTTTGCAGACAACATCAAAACGCTATAGCGGGATATGGCAGAATAACTGCTCTTTTATGGATATAAAATATATACATATGCAGATAATTATGTATATGATGCTCAAAAAATATTCATAAATAGCATATGAATAATTATCAACAAAACATATAAAGGGAAGAAAGAAAATGGATTTTGCCAGAGAAGCCATCAAAGATGAGTTACCCCACTGGATTGGAGGTTGTTGCAAAGCAGAACAGAGACAGAGATGAGAGGACAAGAGGAGGGAGCCTCAAACAGAGAAGGAGAGAAGAAAAAAAGTGGAGAAAAAGTGGGTTTTCGTCATGTGTCTCCAGTTGCAAAGCAGAACAGCAATAGAAATGAGAGGACGGGGTGTCAAACAGAGAAAGGAAGAAGAAAAACTAGGGAAAAGTGAGGTTAGATCTGAAAAACTTAGAAGACTATTTCTACTCTTAAAAAACCTCAAGATTGTCATCTCAAGGGCAAAAAGGAAAAATCAGCTTATTTCTAAAAGATTAAAAATCATTTTTACCATTAAAAAACCCAAAATTTGCTTAGTTTTTAGGGTAGAAGTGGAAATTTGGTATTCTTTCACTGTGGTGGCACTATTGTGCCATGAAAGGCCACGTTTTGGGCCACGATGGCAGCCAGATCTGTGGCAACCAAAGGCCGCTCTGACACACTGTTGCTATTGCATGCTATTGACAACTATTGTCCAACTGTCCAAGGGATTAAGTTGTCCCTTCGTCCTCCAATATTTTCTTAGGTTTTGTTTGAGTTTTGAAGGAGAGGAAAGGGTTTGAGGGATAAGGGAGTAGAAGGGAAGGGAGAGAGGAGGAGGATTAACAGAAAACTCCCCAATTTGTGAGAACTTAACATGTTCTTATGGGAGGTTTTGGAGGGTTTATAAAAACTCCCAAACAAGGGTTACCATTAAATAAACATTTCCCTTCTCTCCCTAAAATTAACTCCCAAACAAAGCCTGGGTGTCTAAATGTGATGTCCATGAGGAATTAATTTTTGTTATGCGTAAACATAGACCAAAGGAAGAACAGAGAATTGAGTGACTGGAGAGCAGTGGATCTGTAGAAAAATGTCAGAGTTAGCCATATACTAAGCTGGCAAGCTGGGTCAATGTCAAAAAATGAATAAGAAGTCCCACATTGTGTTTTCTCATCAAAACAGAATCCATATGCATTTCCAACTTAAAAAAAGGGAAATCATAAAAATACCCAAAACAAATGAGCTGGATTACTTGGTAAAAAAAAGAGTAAAGACATTTTTTGCCTCAGAAGGATAGCAACCAGGATGGTTGCGATTTGGTGGGAAATTGGTCACAATCACAGCTGCAACTGAAAAACATGACGTGATGTTAGTCCTGTAGCAGCCTAAGGCAGCTCCACTGCTATTGCATGCTATTGATAACTATGGTTATATGTGTTATCATAAACTTAAGTTGTACTGCATGTTACCTTTCAAAATTGCCTTTCAAAATTCCCTTGATACTCTGACCTAACATAAACCTAAGGAAATTGCCTTTCAAAATACCCTATTCCATATTTCCATTGTTCTTCAAATTAGTCTATAACAGTTCAACTTCAAACCAGGAAAAAACTTTTGATAGCTACCTCTCCCATTGATACAACAGCCTTGAGTTTCTTCAGCTTCCCAACAAGCAGACCCACTAAGTAAGCCTACAAGTACCACTAACATATTTCCAGCAGCTTTATCCATCACAACACTACAACAACAACAACCAAGCTAAAATCCTAATTCCTTGCCACTGCTCAAAATTGCAGCCTGAGGGTCAAAATATTGATATGCTTAAAGAGATTTGTTACTTAAACACTATAATAAGTTATTTTCAAGATCAAATGGATTTTAATGGTAATTTGACTACCTAACAAAGGCTGTTCCATTCCCCAAATATGATAGAAAATTTGATAATGTACTTCAGTTAACTGAAAAACACCATGGAGATCCATACCAGCTTCAGGGGAGCCACATGGGAGAGAATATTTTTAATGGATCTTCCATCTGAACGGCCTTCAAAGTCCATGTAAACCAATGAAGACCTGACTTGCACCTGGACAAAAATAATATCAACACCAACATATGTAGATTTGGCATTTAAGATTCATACAGGTAGAATGATAAACACACGAGATATTGATATTACTAAAAAAATAAATGCACCATTATCAATCACTAAAAGAAGCTTACATGTCCCATAATAATTCTGCCTATCTAATATTCTAATGTGTTTCACAGCCAAATTACAAGTGGTGGATCACAAGAACAACATAAAATTCAAAATGCACACAACAAAGTTCTGAATTATAAGAAACTATAGTATGGATGTTGTTCCAACCCTAACCAGTTGCTTCTATATTCTGCCTGATATATAGAATTTTCTTAATGGAAACCATCTGATAAACTTAGATCAAAGACCTAATTCCAACTAAGGAAGAAATAACAGGTTTGAAGAAAATTCAGTAGGATAACAATGACTGCAGAAAAAAAAAACAGATATAAGATCATCTTTAGTGAAGTCTCAAAAACAGGTAGATTCATAATCTTTGGGAAAGTCATAAAATTTAATGACATGCACTTGCAAAGTGCAAAAGTGGGAAAGACAAAATTCAAAAGATAGAACTTGGTTCATCTGATCAATTTCTGGATACAACAGTAATATATCCAGACACAATTATATAAATTTACTGTTTAAAAGCAGCAGAAACATTAAAATATTAATATAAAGATACTGCTGCTTACAGTTCTTTCATCAGATATGACTTTTGATGGCTTTGTATCAAGTATCAAACTCGCAGCACCTTCATCTAGTTTTCCATTTAATTCACCTCCTACCTGATAGAAAATAGGAAAAATGATAAACAATTATTATTATTCATGACATCAACGTAGTGTTGAATAGAGGCCAGCAAAGTCTCAATTCACCAATACCATAACTCTTAAAAATTGCATGTGAGAAGTATTTTTCACAGTTAGAAGTAGACTGTTACATGACATCTAAATGTCAATGAAAAAACAGTTAAAGACACACAGAAGTAATCAAACCAAATGCAAAATAGACCATAACAAGTGAATGAGATTAAGATTCTTGTATCATAGATTTTCTGGTATAATGTTTCATTTTGCTTTGTGATCCATAGATATCATTGACCTATATATTTGGCAAGTCTTGACTGAATTTCAAATAAGTATGTTCATTATATTCCATCTAATGAAATTTCTGAAGTTGTTAGAACACAAACATGATAAGACTTAAAAGCACTGTGTCATGGAAAGTAACGAGGTAGATGATTTAGAAAGGATATTTACATGCATTGCTGTCTGGTCCATGTCTTCATCCTTAATTACATAATCATCTGGATTTATGACTTCACCAAAATCATCCCACTCTGACGTATTCTCATAACAGGGAAACATTGGGGCAACACTCGTTGAAGGGGGAACAAATCCATCAATAAATATGTCCCGGTATCCTCCACCTCGTGGACCAGCCACTGCAAGTGCAAATCAAATTACTGAAGGAACAATAAAAATTTGTATAAACTAGTAAAACACAAAAAAGAATTGTCAAAAAAATTTTCAAGTGTTGCATAATAATAGACAATTTTAAATTCCTTATATTTTATCTAAGTTAAATAAAACGCAATTATATTAAATACAAATTACATTGTAATATCACATTAGCATGTTCATAAAATGATGAGAAATGTTTCAAAGAGCTTGGATCTCACAATTCAGTTTTTTTGTTTGATACAGTGAAACGGTTGTTTTGTAACACAAGACATCAGGTACTATTTATTCTTTGATTTAAAAATTAATAATGTGAAGTACTTATCAAGATTCTAACTGGTTAAAGACAAAACAGTTCAGTTCTATAATTGTAGAAATTTTCAAATATACACAACTCAAAATCAGATAGTTAAGCAGAAAAGGTAATTATAACAAAATCTGAAGTGGATAATTGTGAATAAGTAACATTTAAAAAAAAAACAGCACCAAATTTATGATAAATCTTTTACTTACAAATAATAAATTATCAAGATTCTAACCGGTTAAAGACAAACAGTTCAGTTCTATAATTTAGAAATTTTCAAATATACACAACTCAAAATCAGATAGTTAAGCAGACAAGGTAATTATAACAAAATCTGAAGTGGATAATTGTGAATACTAAGTGATAGTTAAAAAGAAAACAGCACCAAATTTATGATCAATCTTTTACGTAAAAAGAATAAAAGGAAAACACTTAAAAAAATAGCTCCAAAATAATTTATACAATTCATACCTTCTGCTGAAGTATGATTATTGCCAGCATCAATGACCATTGGGTCACTAGTATTATTATCAGTTCCATGAGATGCTTTCAATTCTTCCTCTTTCATCAGACTGGCTTTTAAAGCTTCTTCTTTTTTAATTCTATTTTGCTCTTCTTCATAGGCAATTAGCTCATCCCCAACCAAAGGAACCCGCTTGGACACAACAACTTTGACAGCTTTTGGAGGTGGATCAGATTGAAGCATACGAGCTAGTGTGGCAAACTGTGTCCAAACACATGAGGATCAGTTGAAACATAAGATAGCAAAAATCAATTTTTATTTTTTAGCAGTTAAAGAAAATACATCACAAATAAAAAAAAATACATGATGCATGAATCATGATCCATTTTCCATTCTCATACCTTAAAATAGTAAAATAAAATCTCAGGCATTAGTAGCACCAATATAAAGCATTCTTTTATGAAAAAGATTTTGAAACAATAATCTACAAGGCTAATTGGAGAGAAGATACAACATGCTAAGCTAAATTTAAAACTCATAAAGACAAAAAGAAGGCAAATCAGCAGTATTCTCTGTGTGTGGTTTGAAAAATTTTGCGTAGCATGGAGGACTACTGTTGGGGAGATAGTAGAGATGGAACTGGAAACCAGGATTGTTTCACCTTGAATGCTACAATGTCAAGATATACCCAAATGGACACAGAAAGGGATGTTCCAAGCACAAGTGTCACATTAGTGAAGACAAGAAAGGGAGAGGGAGAGAACTCAAGGTATATTACAAATAGGTAAGAATTAAACTCAAGTGCTAACCGAGTGGCCAACACAAGAAGCTTCATTCCAAAAGTTTGAGAAGAAAAATCAATGCTCATGCCACATTACTTTAGAAACACCTTATAATATAACAACTTATGAACAACATTATTTTATATTTACAAGTAAAAGGAGCAATGTCAAAGGAGGTCTTGCATTCGTCAGTACATGCAAAAGAGAATGCTTTATAGAACACTACAGAAACTAGCAAATGCAAATGTAATACTGATAACAAATTTTTTGTATCTCACTATTTTAATCTTTGGTGCCTCAGGAAAAACTAAAGCAATGTTAATGTGTTAATGTTGAACTTCAAAATACAAATGCAACTGTGGCATCAACTCTAAGGAGCATCCCTTTATCACTTAGCAGATAAACATAGAGAAACCCTGCTACAGCTTGTAGTGTTTCGCATGATTACTGAAACACAAAAAAAGGGTAATGAATTTTTTCTAAGGATATACCTGGCCTCTTTCAGTAAAAAGCACAAGATTTTTGACATCATTGGCCCACTCAACAAATATATCATGAGAAAAACCTGCTTCCAAACTTGCCATGGATGCTATAACAACCTATGAAAGAGATGTGTCAGAGTGAGTAAACAAGTTGGTGTGATGAAAAATATGCATACAAATATTATTTTAACCTTTGGACCATCTGGAGCATTGTCAAGCTCAGTCTTGTTAATTAGAAGGCTGACATACCTGTAGGTACAAGCATTACAGACGTGTTTTAGACACAGATAACATTAGCAATCATAGTAGGAGATTAATGACTTGTTCGATATCCTTAAAATGTGACAACCTAGGTTTTCAGAGCCCATCTTTCACTCATTATTGAACAAAACCTTTATTTTAAATATCCAAAGAAACCCAAAGTAATTATAGGCTTAAAATGCCAATCAGTAAAAAGATGTTATAGTATTCCTGAGAACCACATAAATAAGTAAACATTGACGTAAGAATATCTAACTCAAAGTTTAAGTTAAGAATGAATGAGACCACTTACTTCAAAAGAAATATATTTTCACGAGTTTTTTCAAAAGACTTTGCTATGGAATCGCTCATCCACTCAAGGAAACTCTTCACATAATCAATTGTGCTGGATGCAACATACGTAAGAAAGTATATAGGGTAGTTCAAGTTTTCATCAGCCCAATACTGCAAAAACCAAGATCCGATATTATTACACGTATACTGTAACGAAGATGGAAGAATGATAATAGAAGCACATGTCCTTTACTGACTGATTCCACCATCAGAATAAGTTCCAACACTCGTCCAGCAGTGTCAACAGGTAGTAATACATTGCCACCTGCCCTCAAAGTCTTCTTTAAGATATCTAAATAATTAACAGGAAATATGATCAGAATAAACAAAGCGTATAACTCCTAAACTGTATTCTTCATTTCAAGTACATGCTTGCCTCATCTGGCATATACAAATATTCCAGTTTTCTTTTAACAGCAATTTGAGAAAATAAAAAAATGGAAAAGTCCATCTTAGTTCTGTCACAGTGCTGTGGTAACAAGATTAAAAAGTTATTTACCTCCAAATTCTTTGTCCTTTTGACGTCTGTAAGGCTGATTATTCAAAGCATTGTAAGCATCGGTAATTAGAACAGCTGGCCGCACAAATGAACCTAGAACAGTTCCATTCAAATGCCTAATAAAAATTAGATTGATAAGTAGCTTCCTTTATGCTCTCCAAAACTATATAGGATAAAACTGATCATGAGCAACCAAAAGAAAGCTTTACCTTTCTTTCCGATGATTAAAATCAACAGCATATATAACGTCCTCACCATCCTTTGTAATTTTCCAAACAGTACCTCCCAAAAGATGTCCAGCAACATGAGGTGCAATAACAATGCCTTCGCCCTTGCCTAGAAGTGGTTAAAATGTCATGAAGGGAACATAACCAAATGAGGGAGGATATTAAGAAGTTGTGAAACATTGAAGCATATCAAAATCAGAGAGATACTCTAAAGATTAAAACAACATTGACTGAGAAAGTTACATTGGAGGCAAGGATGACCATGCCTTATTTTGTACAAGTGTAAACCAAACAAAAGTTTTAATTTATATGAATGATAGTGCATGCTTTAATTTCAGACCATCAATCATCTTATACATTTATATTATTCAAATTTCTATGACATTGATAATAATTCATAAAGAGTAAATTAGTAAACTGTTTAGAGGCCACAAAAAAATGTAGCAGTTTTATGAAATTAAGATTTGAAATAACAAGATAATTTGAATTAGTGGATTCACATGATTACTAAGTAAATTTTGAAGATCCAAAATATTTGAAATTGAAGTGCGTTCACAAACACAAATAAAATAAAATTTCAAATTCAAAATTTCTACCCCTTAATAGAAAATTTATATTGCTCATGCAAATCATTCTACATACTAGACACCAATGACATGTGAAGTTTTTCCATTTCTATTTACCAAATAACATTGAAAGGTGAAGAAAAATTATATTTTCACAATATAGGATGGTCACATAAAAATTAGGCTGTCATTCAAATAACCCCTTTAACATTGATCCTTTAGGAAACCCTACATGACTTCAGTTTTGGCAATTAACAAACAGAACGTCCAACATGAGGCAAATAGACCATTTTCGCTTGGCCTATTTTTCGTCTTTGGCACCCCTATGAGAAATATCCTCCCTTCAAGAGAGCTACTGCCCAAATGAAGGATTTGAATTGGACAGAACTATGGATTCCCTAATATATTGATGAATATGAATATGAATGGGATAGCAAATTACAAACTAACTTATACTTACTGTACAGAGAAAGAAGGGTTCGGGGGGAGTGAATATGGACTTAAGAGAGTGAAGTGAAAAAAAAAATGCATACTAATATTACCACTTCAATACTACACATTCTAACAATAGTTCAAATGCCAACCTGAGAGATGATGATTCTGAGAGTATGTTAACCTTGTTACACTTTGGAAAGCAGAATCAATATCGTCCAGTGTGAACAGATCAAACTCCGATACTTGCTGCAAAAAAATGAGAGATCTCAACCTAAACATTTGGCTATGTACCATACACATTTTGCAAATCCTGTCTAATTATTAAACACGCAAGCTCACATATAACCACACGAATGATCCAACAGCCTATAAACCAAGATGCAGAAAAACACCCTCCTCTTAACAGAAAAACTAGCATGGAATTTCACCTTTCTTGAGAGGTACTGGTCATACATGGTTAGAAGGCCCAATCTGTAGACTGGCTCGGTGGAATAAACCGGGGCAGAGAGTCCAAGCTGCTTCATGGCATAAGGGAGGGCACCAAGGTGAAGTGTATCCGAGTGTGAAAGTAACACAGCATCAACAGTTGATGCTACCCTACATGCCAACCACACAACCTCAATAAGAAATCAAAAGTAACAAAACACAAACATGCCTAAAACATCAATTTCATTGTCATTCATAATTATAATCCCACCCCACAAAAAGAAAAAAACAATTTTTTCTTCTTGTTTATAGTTCTAGAGCCCCATGAACGTTGTTTTCCCCACTACAACCCCTGTATGTCACTAATCAATACTTTGGAGCTGAAATCACATTATGTAATTAAACAATGAAGGGGGGGGGGGGGAGAGGAGAGGGGTGTGAAATGAAGATACCCACATGAAAATATTCAATCGTTTTAATGTCCCCTGAAAAGGGTAGGTCTTAAAATGCAGCAGAAATATAAAAAGCGGATTGGTATTGGAAAAGGAAGAGAGAGAGAGAGAGAGAGAGAGAGACCTGGAGAGGGGTTGAAGGAGAGAGGGGTCGAAGTGATCGTTCCAGCCACAGTCGATGAGGAAGTTGAAGCCATCAATGGAGACTAAGTAAGAGAGAGGGTTCTCATTGTACACTCCACATAGTGGCTTTACTTGCACTGATGTTCCCATCTTCTTCTCTCCTCCGCCTGTGCTTCCTCACACACACAGAGACACTCTTTCTCTCTCAAACCACCAGCAGGGAGAGGATTGTGGGAAAGATGGAGAGTGAAAGGAGAGGGAAGGAACAAATCAAGATAGTAAATTTCTACGAGGAAAATAAACTAATTACATATTTACATATACAAGCTCAATTTTTAGCCAGGTTTTTTTCTTGCTGCTTGCTCCGTTACCCATAAATTGGAATGTACTCTTGTTAAATTTCCGGTTATTTTAATATTTCAAAAATAATTATTTTATTTTTATATATTAATAATTCTTATTATTTGTTATAAATATTCAATATAATATTAATATTAATAATTATTTTATATAAAAATATTTTTAAAAAATTTCAAAGTACTGTAAAAATTATATATTTTTTTTATAAATTCTGATTAACAAACTTGTAGATATGGGACTTGAAAAGTTTAGATGTATTCAAATTTTTTTTTTAAATGATGGTCCAAATTCAATCTTTTACGTATACTAGGTTTACGTAATCAATCAATAAATCATAATTTTTTTTAGTAGAGATACAATTATATTTTGAATTGTGGACAAACATAAAAGAAAATTCACTTATTGATTCTTATTAAATTGGTGGTGAGCTTAAATCAAATAATAAAAAAAAATTTCAATGAAAAGAAAAAAACTAGATGATGAAATATGCGAATTTTAGTGTCTATCTAGAAATTTTAATATTTGAATCTAGAATTCATGCTTTAAACTCATAGGATATTAAAAAATTTCAAAACAATAAAAATTTTATTTTTGAATAAATTTTAAAAAGAATTAGAGATATGTTAGGTGTTAAAAGAAGAGTGCTAGACTTGGTCCCTATAAGTTTTAGGTACTCTCCTATCTTCTATGGTCAGACCAACACTATTTGCTCATCTGTATCGCGGCGTATTCAACCTTTTCACAATCATAAATACAAACATAACAATTCATAGCCAATAGTTGTCCAACAGGTACATTATACCATCTCTATTTCAAAAAAGCAATCAATGACATGGATATGGCTATCGATCAAGAAATTCTAGATTTCATGAAGCAAATTATAAAATTCATAACTAATCCAATACAAGATCAAACATCATGAAATCACCAAGGTTTTCTTCCTTTAAATGTCTACTATAATATAAAATTAAAATCAAAATTCAAACACTTTCAGAAAATTCATTAACTCCCAATCCATCTTTGTTATTCTCAAATTAATTCACTAAATAGCCAACATATTAGAAAATTTGTAGTAAATTCATTTCTCATCAAAAACACATAAAACTAGTGAGTTCATTCTCCTTAACATGTCTATTTTCATGTAAAAATACTTTCAAAATCAAAATAATCATAAAAATTAATTCATGCTTTAGTTTCTCAATTCATGTCACATAGTGGCACAATTCAACAATAGCATATTGAAAAAATCATAAACTATTCAATTTATCACCATAACTCATGAAATCAATGGCATTCTTTCACTTTGGTTATCTAGTTTCACAAAAAATTATAATTAAAAATTTATAGCCTCCAAATTCTAGAATAAGTCATAAACATGCTCTGTTACTCACAAGAACATACTTCTCAGAATCAATTAAATAGAAAAGTCATAACTATTTTATTTTAAGTCCAAAATTCATCAAACAAGTGATGATATTTCCCTTATAGTCTCTATTTTCATACAAAAATACTAATAAAATAACGACACTTATACATTTTAAAACGAAAATAAGTTTCTCAATAACATACACAAAATGTTATTCTTATATAACAATACCTTGAGAAAATCATAAGTAATTAATTTTAACTCCAAATTGATCAAACTCAGTAAGAATATTTTTATTATGAATTATAATTTCATACAAAAATATAAATAAAATACAATCATACTTGAATTCTAAGAAGAAAATGATTTAGAGTACGCTGTTCTCAAGAAAAACATTTAAACATAACAAAATATTCAAAAATTCATAATTATTTTATTTCAATTCCAAATCAAGTAAAACCAATGAGTATACCTCCATTTAGAAGTTTGTTTTTATACAAAAATATCAATAAAATAACACTTCAAACATATAGTAAGACAAAAATAAGTCAAGATATACTGCTTCCGAATACCATTTTCATGCAACAGAAATTTATAAAAATCATAACTAATTAAATATAAATCCAAATAAAGTAAACCCAGTGGAAAAATTATCAAAATTTAACTATCTTTCTAAATAAAATACTAAAAAAAAAAAATTCTTTCAAAGATTTTCTCATATTTTACATTATTTACACTTTAATCCTTATATTTTATATTAATTGCAAAATGGTCCTTGTCTCTAATTTGGTAAGTGTCAAATTGTCCAGTATGTCTTGCATGTGTTCAAGGTCATTAATTCATGTTTAAATATGGTCTAAATCATTCTCTTGGTCCTACCACACATGTGGTCAAGGGTCTTGAATTTCTAAGGTATTTTTTATCCAAATCCATGGTATTTTTTCATTTTTAGGTTCAATATTTCAAATTTATTTTTCAAAGTTTGTTCACATCATTTGTCCGTGTAGTCCATAGGTCCAAATATGTCCATAAGTCCAAGGGTCTTCATCATGGTCACTTTCCATTCTTAATCTATTTCTTTTTAGAAGTTTCTTTCATAAATATTCAAAAATAGTTTTATAAATTCATTTTGACTCTAAAATAATTTTAATCCAAACGAAAATCATGAATTCAACTTAGACACCATAAAAATAAGTCACAAAATGAAACATGCAAGATTTTCATGCAACCAACCACATAACAAGCAAAGTCGTCATCAAATACAATACACTTTGTGGTTCTTAGTAATTTTCATGCATTTACTTATTTCAATCAAAATTTTAATTATAGATTCATCAACACACACAATTTCAATAACAACTAAAAAAGGTTAAGGCTTCCCTTGACTCAAAACCATTTAAACAAGGTATTTCTCTTGATTATGAAAAGTACCCTCCCCATTTACTTGGTGTTTTTGGATTGATCTTGCCTTAATCTTTGGGTGATCCTTTTTCTCTTCTCTTTTTGCTTTATTTCACCTCTTGGAAGTGAGTATCTCCTTTCTTGGCCTCCTACTTCTTCAAGTTTCAAATAGTATACAAAAAAGAAAGTTTCTTGGTAGATTTTGTGGGGTATCTTAGTATTTTTTTAGTGGGGTTAAAGGCTTGATTCAAGACTCTTATGGTGGAGATATTGGGTGGTCTAACATGTGGAGTTTAACTGAAGTGTTTGAGATGGACTTGAATGTGTATAGAGAGAATTAAGATGAAAAGGAAGTAAAGCGCTCTTGAGTTGCATGAGAATTGATATAAAGGGTCTTTTTCTTCTTCATGCATGCCTTTCTATAGAAAATCTCTTGATGTTGGGCCACTCTCATGTATCTCACGGCTCCACCTTCTCTCTTGCAAGTCTTAATTTTCAATTTTGGTTCCTTTTTGGCTTATTCTACAAGCCTACTCATGTGTACATTTGTAAATGTCTAAAATTGCCCTTTCACAATAGGTTTTGTACTTCTAGTTAGATTTTAACCTTCCTAGTTTTATTTCAACCATTTCAATTACTTTTTGAAACCTATTTATTTCAAATTCAATGGTCATGATCCAATTAGATCCATTGATGAGAATTAATTCCCAATCATTCATCATTAGCCTTATCTTCTAAAAATGTTCACCTTGTTATTTTGCCTTGATTTCATTGGTTCTTATGGAGTATGCTTATCCAGCTGGGTTTAAGCCATAAATGACCTTATCCCTTAATCATGATTAGTCTCACATATCTCTAATGGGTCACATGGCTCTTTACTACTATTCCAAGTCCATTTGCTTTCATTTACACTTGAATTTTGGGCCTTTTTTTTGGGTAATTTTTATACTTGCTCTTTTGTTTTCATACTTGCACGTCTATAACCTCTACATTTGGGCCATCTATCATAAAAATTTCAGAATTTATCTCATTTATTTATTTCTCCAAATTGAGCCTCTATTCTAGGTGTTTCTAAAGATATCTTGGTTATTTTGATCAAATTTTATAATTTTATTTATTCTCTATTTTTAAATCTTTCTAGACCTTTTATAATTTATATAAAACTATTTTATATAGCGTAAAAATATTAAATAAAATTTTTAGAGTTTTATTTTATTTTTTATATTACGCTATTATTTATTAATCAGACTCGTTTTAGTAAATTTTATTAAAAAAAATTTAATTCTCAAGTCTTTATAAACTGCTTACTTCTAATTAGATAAAGTTAACATAATCTAAAATTATTTATGAAAAAAGAAAAAATTTAGAATTATATAATAAAAGTTATATGATAATTTTTTTATAAACTATTCTTAAATTATTCTACATAGAGCTTATATATATATTTTTATATAAATATAAGAAATTTTGACTCCTTTATGTGTTGGTATTTCTCACTTTATTCTCATCACTAATATTTTTCAAACACTGTTAAAATATTGATTAAAATAATTTAGAGTAGTTTCACAAACACCTAAAACCAAACGTTCTCCCTAGCAAATAATTTCAAGTCTTTTAGGGTATAATAATAATAATAATAATATTTACTTAAAAAACATGGAGAGAAGCAATGGTAATATATTCATTAGAGAGTTAATAACATATTCTATCTTTCAAAAATACTACTATTTATTACTAAGACATTTCACATAAATTCTGCACGAAATAAAGTGAGCGAAAGTAATTCATTGAATATTAACTGCCGACTTTGATGGAATTTATACCAAATCCTTTATATACAGTTTTCCTATATCTCCATAGATTGGGCTAGTCAAATAGCAGTAAATAAATTTCGTTTAAAAGTTATTAATATTGATAATGTATATGATATTATGTAAATTAAGAGATATTTTTATATTTTTTATACACAAAATATTATTATTATTAATTTTATATCAATAAATAATATAATTAATAATTTATTTTAAAAATATAAATATTATTTTATCTCTAAAATATTAAAAAAATTACATATTTTCAAGCACCACTAATATTTAGTAATTTCTACGTTATTATTCTAAAGTACGAGGAGATTATAATGAAAAATAAATCTCATTATTATTTTTGAAAAACTTAATTGAAGAAATAAAAAAATTCCATCCTAATGAGAGAGAGGAAGAGCATGAGAATGAAAAAGTGAGTACATCCAACTTTCTGTTTCAACACAGTACACACTACATAACAAACACCACATCCTCGTTGTACCCTCCATTTATCCACTATTCCCCTTTTTCATCTCTCTCTCTCTCTCTCTCTCTCTCTCCAACCACTTTCTCTCTCTTCACTCGCCTCAACTTTTCATGGCTTCTTCCATCATCAAGCCCACGTCCTCCCCCACCTCTCTCCAGCTTCGATTGGCTTTCACCGCCCCCAAATTCCCCCTCACTCCGCACTTCAGCCTCCGTAGTCCCAAGCTCAACCCTCGCGTTCGTCCTCTCCGCGCGCAAAACGGCGTTGGGTCGGAATGGAGCGGGTCGGGTCCCAAACTAGACGGATTCTCGGGTTGGTCCGATTCAGAGGGCACTGAACAGTCCAACAAAACTTCTCCGAAAAAGGAGTCAATTGCAGGTGATTGCACTTCTTGAAATCCTACTTGTTCATGATTCCTCTATTTAATTCGTGGAAAATGTTAACCATGTTCTTAGAGCTAAGGCTCTAAGTTTAGGAATCATAGTGAGATTTTATTAAACATATTTTTTTTTTAAACTTTTACAACTTTAACGTAATAAATGTATTCTTTTTTTAATCCAAATGTATTTCTTTTAAGTGCTTGCTTAAAGGCTGAGGTTAATATAACCTTTAATTCAATTTAATTGTTTTATAAATTTAGTTTGTATATATTGTCATACTCGTGTCCTAATTTTTTTTTATAAAAAAATTGTATTTGCGAACTGTATTATACCCATCACCGTTATTATTATTATTAGGTTGAAGTATATATGTGGTCTTTATTGATGACACTCATTTACGAATGTTTAATTTCTATACGTTACCTTTTTGGTTCATATCATTATAACGATGACTACTAAAATGTAATGAAACACTGGTGTAAGGATTAAAATGCAAGTTGGTTTTTTTTTTTTTTTTTTTTTTTTTTATGTATACGGACTATAAAGACCAAATGTGTATTTTTGCATTATTATTATTATTATCCTAGTTGTTGGTGTGGGAAATTTGAAACTTGGTGTGGTTCTTGCTATATATGAAACTTGATGGGGATTTTGACTGGGTAATTTGATTTGAATTGCATACAACAACAACTAAGCCTTATGCCATTCAGTGAGGTTGGCTACTCGGATCACATGATACTGTTGATTTTGGTTGACAACCAAATTCTTTGATATTTTATTTATCACTCGATTTAAATTACATGTTAGTGTTAATAAACATGGTTAGGAAATTGAGATACAGGATGTGAATTACTGAAAATGTTGTATTTTGCAAAGTGGTATTGTTAACAATTCCGCATTACTTAATAACACTTTTGGAGTAGCTTGGTTTCAGGAGTTGTAGGAGTAGGAGTAGCAGGAGTGCTTCTTCTTTCAGGGCTTACCTTTGCTGCCTTATCTCTTGGCAAACGAACTGGTTCCAGTGAGTAATCTTTGCCTGCTCTTGTTTGATAATCATCAAGTTGGGTTTAATGGATTTCATGCATGTGAGTGAATTGATTTGTCTTCTGCATGTTTAACTTCAAATTTTCTTGGTTGGAAATTGAAATGTGGGTGACTGGATACAGGACCAGAGCAACACATGAAGCCGTTGACAACGCAGCAGGAGGAACTTTTGTCTTCTGATGACCATAATGATGAAAGAACAGAACAAGTGAATGCTGACAATGAGGTGGAGCAAGGAATTGGTAAAATGGAAGGTCAGATAAATATATCCAGGAATGATTATTCATCTAATGTTTACAGTGAGTATAGCACTGTTGATGATTCTGGTATAGGATCCCAGTTGATATATGATAGTAAAAACACCTCTGACGGTGTTGATGATGATTCTAAACATATATCTGTTAAAGAAGACTTACAGCATGACTCGGCTTTTGATAACAAGTTAGTTGTTTCCAGTGAAAGCCCAATGCCTCCTGAATCTGAAAATACTGTTGATTCTTTTAATGCTTATGGATTTAGAGATTTTGATAGCAACCCTAGTGTAGTTACATACAGCAGAATCTACTGCCAATCTTAAAGAAAACCTATTCAATGTTGAACCAGGAAACATGCCCAACTATGATGATGCTAAGCCACCACACCTTAATACTGAGCAGCAGGATGAAATTACCAATTCAAGTGGGAGTATAGGTTCTGGTATTTCCAAAACCTCTAGTTTGGGTGCTGATAACGAGATTGAAACTGATAGTATTGTTGTCAATCCTGAATCAAATGACACAATTTCAGATCCTAAATTTTTTAATGAAGAAGATCAAGCTAATATTCTGTCAGCTTCAAAGAAAGAAAACCTTGACCTGAACAAAATTCCACTGGCCTCAGCTGAGGGAGATAAGCCATCCCTTGAAGAGCAGACTGTTCCGGGAAATAACCTGTTCGAAAAATCACACGTCTCATCATCAGCCAATACATTGGTAGATGAGCAGGTTAGAAATGATTATGAGGTTGACAAAGATATATATGAATCCCCAAATTCTGGATCTTTTTACTCTGTTCCTGGTATTCCCGCTCCATCAGTATTTTCTTCAGCTATACAAGTGCTTCCTGGAAAGGTTTTGGTTCCTGCAGTTGTTGATCAGGTTCAGGGGCAAGCACTAGCTGCCCTGCAAGTTTTAAAGGTAACTACTTGTTGTCATTCATTCACACGTTTCAAGGTCATTGCAATTTACCATGGGCATACTAGCTTAAACTTCAGCCATATTGATTCACTAGGGAATGTGTTACTAAGCTATACACTATCTTATTGCCAAAGATTTGCTGGAAGGAATAATTTATTACTGTTGAAGAAACCAGAAAGCAACTGAAATTGATAATTCCTGTTAGCTTTATGCTTGCTCCCATTGAAGAGATAGTAGGACAAGTTTTATTTGCAAAGCAAGATGTATGTAATTAAAGAACTACTTGATAATATATTCTTTGTAAACATAATTCTAATTTAGTGTTGGTATTTGTTTATTTATGATAGTCCAACCATTAAGAAAAGGTTGTTATTGTTTGCTTGGAAATTGTTACATCCTCAGGTCATCGAGCCTGATGTTCAACCTAGTGATTTATGTACCCGACGTGAATATGCTCGCTGGTTGGTGTCTGCTAGCAGTGCTCTTTCAAGGTAGCAGTTTATTTCTTCTTTCTACCTGTGATGTGAATAAGAAAAAGTTAACAAGAATAACTATTTGTTACACATGTAATATATGGCATTACATGTTCCTTTCTTGTTACTTGATAGGAGCACAGTTTCAAAAGTGTATCCTGCCATGTACATAGACAACGTTACTGAGCTTGCATTTGATGATATCACCCCCAAGGACCCTGATTTTTCTTCCATTCAAGGTTAGAACAGGACATAATAGTTTTTTTTTTACAATGTTTGTTGATAGATTCTTATCATGTCTAAAGAAAATCGATTTTCAGGTTTGGCAGAAGCTGGACTTATTGAAAGCAGGCTTTCAAGACATGATATACAGTTGTCAGCTGATGAAGATGATAGCCCATTTTACTTCTCCCCTGAAAGGTTTGTTCCTTCTGAATTTGAATATTTAATTTGTGGTTATTCCCTCTGCAGCTGTGCCATCATCATTCAAAATTATTGAAATTCTCCCCCTTCTAAAAAAAATAGATTTAACATTTTGTCTTATTTTTTCTTTGATAGTGCATACTTGCAATACCTTCTATTTGAGAAATGCTTGTAACTTTACAAGGCATAGACTAAGATTGTGATCTCTCTTCTCTCCTATATTAATTTCTGCAGTCCTTTATCACGTCAAGATCTTGTCAGTTGGAAAATGGCCTTGGAGAAAAGACAGCTTCCTGAAGCTGACAGAAAGGTTCCTCAACTTGTTGTTTTGTCTGATATGCTTAAGCTATCTACTTAATTCCAACTGCATTGAACTGATGAATGTGTTTATCAAATCCGATGACTGATGGGCAGAAGCTGTACCAACTTTCTGGTTTTATAGACACTGATAAAATACATCCTAATGCATGCCCTGCACTAGTAGCTGACCTATCTGCTGGTGAGCATGGAATAATAGCTCTTGCATTTGGTAAGTCATATTCTCTTTGCAATTCTTTTAAAATATTTAATCATATGCTTGACAGTGCATTTTTATTTTTCATAGGAATATTTTGTTTTGTTATTTCTTTTCTCCCAGTTATTTCCAGTCTGGTTTTGGGTTTTAGTGTTCACTTGTTTTATTTTTTGGGGTGGGGATGGGTTATTCAAGGTTATACAAGAATGTTCCAGCCAGATAAACCAGTAACAAAAGCCCAAGCAGCTATTGCTCTAGCTACTGGAGATGCTTCTGACTTAGTTAGCGAAGAGCTTGAACGCATTGAAGCAGAATCTATTGCTGAAAATGCTGTTGCTGCACATAGTGCTTTAGTAGCTCAAGTTGAGAAGGATATTAATGCAAGTTTTGAGCAGGAGCTTTTCATAGAAAGGGAAAAGATCAATGCTGTTGAAAGAATGGCTGAAGAGGCAAGACTTGAGTTGGAAAGGTTAAGATCTGAGAGAGAAGAAGATAACATTGCATTGACAAAGGAACGTGCTGCTATTGAATCAGAAATGGAGGTTTTTTCAAAGTTAAGACATGAGGTTGAGGATCAATTACAAAGCCTTATGAATGACAAGGTAGAAATAGCACATGAAAAAGAGAGGATTAGCAAGCTTCGGGAACAAGCAGAATTTGAAAACAAGGAGATTGGTCGCTTACAGTATGAGCTAGAGGTTGAACGAAAAGCGCTGTCCATGGCCAGGTAAAATGATTAAACTTTTAAAAGGCAACTAAATTATGTATGATCATGTTTTAGCTTTTGTTTCATAGAAATGGTAAAAGCAGATATGATATGGGATGGGATGCACTGGCAAATATTTTCTTTCCTTCAATTTTTGCCTTGGGATGGAATTGATTAAACAATTACTCTATAACCTCCATCAAGTTGATTAAGATTGAAGGGACAAATCCCAATAATAGAGATAATATGATTAAAATAAAATCTGATAGACTCTAATATATCATTTCTAAAAATAATGAATTCATGCCAATGAGCTAATAACTCACCCAGCCTCAAATGTCAGCCAGCAACCATGGTCGTTACTGTGATATGGTTGACCTACTACTGCTCATAATGAATAAATGAAGTATGAAATATGAAAGGTTTAAATATGTTTAGTCAATTTTAATTTGGTTCCTGTACAAAAAAGTTTTCAATTTAGTCTCTATACATATAATCATTTTCAAATTTGTCCGTGCCATTTGTTGACCTTATAACACTAAGGTTTGAATGGATTTATTGTTATGTATAGAGACCAAATTGAAAGTGTCTGTCACATATAGGAACCAAAAATAGTAACACTCATTTTTAATTCAGTCCCTGCACTTCACCATGTTATATAACTCCCCAACATATGCTGTTATAGCAGTAACATATGGCAAGGACTAGATTGAAAGCGATATTTTATATATGACCAAATTGATAATGAATGTCACATGTAGGGACCATAAATATATTTTAACCAAAATAAAACTAACTATGCATTTCCTATGGCATATTATATGTTGATTGGATAAATTATCACCGTACACATGTTCCTTTCTGCCATTGCATTCCTTTTCTTGCAACAGTTATTTTCTATATTAACTGCTTCCTATTGTTTTGAGGAGCACACATTTTATCCAGATCTACATCTATTTAAATTTAATGATACTAACTAGGCACCACAGATATAGTAAGTCCGTCAGTGAGGCAAATGCCTTATTGACAGTTGTTGCTTATCCTAGTTAAATGAAACAGTTCAGGGAAACTCAGTTTTGTCTCTTATATTGTCCAGTCATAAAATGATACTTCTTAGTTACCCTATGACCACCAGAGTAAATGGCTATGTTGATTCTTGGATTCAGGGCTTGGGCAGAGGATGAAGCCAAACGGGTAAGAGAACAAGCAAGAGCCTTAGACGAGGCTAGAGATCGTTGGGAGAGGCATGGAATCAAAGTGGTAGTTGATGATGACCTCCGCAAGGAGGCTTCTGCAGGAGTTACATGGCTTAATGCCTCAGAGCAGTTGTCAGTTCAAGGAACAGTTGACAGGGCTGAGAGCTTATTGGACAGGCTCAAACATATGGCAGCAGATATCAGAGGAAAATCTAGAGATACAATTGACAATATCATCCAACTAGTTTCCCAATTTATATTAAAATTGAGGGAGTGGGCATCCAAAACAGGAAAACAGGCTGAAGTATTTGGAGAAGCTGCCATCTCAAAGGCAGCTAAGTCAGCCAATGAGTTGCAGCAGAGTGCTGTTGAATTTGGAGTTGCTATCAAAGAAGGCACAAAGCGAGTTGCCGGTGATTGTAGAGAAGGCGTTGAGAAAATGACCCAAAAATTCACACAGAAGTTCAAGACCTGATCTTTTCTACATTGAACCGTGAACATTTTTCTAGCATACTGGCTGTTTGATTGGCCAGAGCTGTAGTTTACTTTTTGTTTTTTTGTTTCCAGTACTTCTTCAATAGAGACTTTTTGTACCAGACCCGGACACAGGGAAATTGGCAGTTCTAGCTTCTAATAACTGCCTTTAGAAGATCACAACACGTTCATGTGAAGCTATGTTTTGTATAATTGAAACTAGTAGGAATTGTAGTTGAGGAATAAAACCAGTTGTAATCAACAAATGGCCATGTCTGCAGTCCATCTTGAGAATGCAATGATATAGTTGTTAGAATGAATACTTTTCTTTTGAAAGTATGCTGAGTGCAAGTTGTCCTGATTATGACTACTAAAATGCAATGATTTTAAAACTGGTTAGTCACTTAATAGCTATAAATTATTATAAAATCACAATAAATTCTAAGTTAAAGAGCTATTTATAAGTATAAGTCGTATAAATTTTATCATAGCATGTTTGGAAATGTTTGAATTTCCAAAAAAAAAAAATCTTATTTTTCCTAAGCTCTCTCTAGGAGCTAGTAAAAATAAGTGACTATTTTTTTTTAAACAAGTTGAATTGAATATGTAATTAATGTTCATTTGGTATCTGAAATTGAGCATAAAATTAGAATTGCTCTAATTAATTTTAATTTTTATATTGAAAAGTATTTAAAATTAAAATCATAATTACAGGACAATTTCATAGAATTAAAAAATAATTTTAACAATTTTTAATATCTAACTAACACCTTAATCGTCACAAATGATATTATAGATTATAAATAAAAAACTTGGATTTAACTCGCATGAAATTGGTGCTATTGGAAACAATGTTAAGATTATTTGTGAGACATTTTTCGGATCCGAATATTCTGTTTCGGAGGGAATTACAGCCTGCAGTCTTAGCAAAAAGTGATTTTAGCTTAAGTCAAAAAAATTTGCTTGAAAACAATATTAAGATTATTTGTGAGACATGTCTTGGATCCATATTCTCTGTAGTTTTGGAGGGAAGTGTAGCGTGCAATCTAAGCAAATTTAGCAAAAAGTGATTCTGACTTAAGTCAAAAAAATCTGCTTAAGCGAATTTAGTAAAAAAGTAATTTTTACTTAAGTCAAAAAATTCGCTTAAGCTAAAATTACGAAAAATTTCAAAACTTCATCTTTTTCTTTAAATTATAGAAAAGTTGAGAAACATTTGTGCAAGATCATATGGTCACACTTATGGTCATACAACAAAAACTTAAGTGTTTCAAAACATGTAATAATGCAACTATTTCTCAACTAATTTCTTAAAGTTTTTATTCCTATAATTCTTATCATAATTCTTAACAATTTAACTTGATTCCAAATAGTTCTATCTCAATAATGTTTAGTACAAGTAGTACATTAAACAATACATTTGGAAACATTTGTGTAAGATCATATGGTCACACTTTTATGGTTATACTATAAAAATTTAAGTATTTCAAAACATATAACAATGCAATTATTTCTCAATCAATTTCTCAAAGTTATCATTGTTATAATCTTTATCATCATTCTCAACAATTTAACTTAATTTCAAATGAATCTACCTCACTAATGTTTAGCACAAGTAACACACTTGACAATATATTTAGAATATTTGGTGAGATGAAATATGTAAGAGTCTTTGGTAATTTGATAGTCATTGGTGAAAAACAAAGATTCATCGAATTCTATTTCACAAATTTAGATTGTAGAGGATACAGATCTAACATTTCTCAGGTTAAAAGTGCATAAAGTGTTGCAGTATCATCTACTAATTCTACCAGACCTTCAACACTCGAGATTTGTTAGTGTGAACATGTTTAAATTAATTTCTCAACCTGATGCAATTTTACTTCGCTTTCTCTAAATCCCAATTACTACTAGTATCGACAAGTTTATAACATTCCTAGGTTTATTTCTCCATGTAACTTCAATCCTTAACCTTAATATGTTGGTTACAGAATATTAAGAACTTATTTATTTTCTATTTTTAAAAATTATTTTTTTAAATTAAAAAAAATGTTTATTAACATAAATTTTACTTTCATTTTCTTTTTAATTTTTTTGAAAAAATTGCTGTAAAATATAATTTTTAAAAATAAAAAACCAAACCAGAAAAAAAAAACATGTTACCAAAAGTTAAGGTTGAATTTTTTTTATAAAAATAAATTAGTTGTACATTAAATATCTAGTGGAAGAAAACATAGGCAAGTATTATTTTAAGGTTAAACTAATTTGTAGATTTCTAAACTATTTATTATTTTAAAAAAATAACTTTCCATATTTTAAATCATTTTTAATTAAATCTCTCAGTTAATGTTTTGGTAGGGTTTCGTTAAGTATATAGGTTTGATTGAAAATTTTTAATAAGTTCAAATATTAAGCTCGAGTTTAATTATTCAAAAAGTCCCTAAATCAATTGAAAATTTTTATTTTAGGGCTTTATACCCAACGAAATCCTAAAGGAAGTATAATCAAGGACCTAATTATAAAAATGATTCAAAAGCTCAGGAACAAACTTGCAGGCTTCTAAAGCATAAAGACTTATTTTAAAAATTTCAATAATTGAGAGGATTATATAATAATTTAACCGATGTTTAGTTTTAGGAATTTATGTTTGTGTATCTTGAATCTAGTATATCTTGCAAAGAAACCAATAAATATAGCTGCAAACAAACTAGTAGAATTTACTCGAATGCTATAACTTAGAAGCTTCTGAACTAGTTAGTTGAACTACTAGTGGAAGTAGAGCAGGATTTGAACCATTTGTCTTAAATAAATTCAACCCAATATTATATACTAGTGTTTAGGGAAAAGAAAATTTTCTAAGTTACAAAAAATCCTACCGACTCTCATGGTAGACTATGTCTCTCCAAAGAGAAACACGCCTCAAAGTTCAATTGCATGAACATATCTTTCGACTAAAATTAAAGAGAATCATAGCTCCTTACATCTTGATGAGCTAGAAACCGATGAAAAATTCAAGTTCAAAGACTTGGGAAGGAACTACTCATCAACTTGTTTTTACGAAGATTGGTAGGATAACTTCATTCCTTGCCGAGGACACATTTCGAGGAATTATGGAGGGCCACGAGAAGACCCTCACCCCTCAACAAAAGGTCATATTTCAAATAATTTTGCAGGATCACGAAAAGACTTGTTCCTTGTCAAAGAGATGGCCTTTCAAGGAGTTTCTAAGAATTTTCAAGTCCCTGGACTGAAAATAGCTAAAACTGGTAAAAAAATAGGAATCGACAGAAAATTATTCTAAGTCCACAAGACCGAATGAGCTCTTAGAATCTTTCTCAAAATGGGTCAAAAAATAGAAGCTGATGAAAAAATTATTTTATGGCCATGAGACTGAGTGAGATCCCAGATTCTTCTCAGAATTGGTCGAAAACAAAGGATGACAGGGAATTTATTCTAAGTTCATGAGAGTATTTGAGAAGTTTCCTTACAGATGTCAAAACATAACAAGAAATTTATTTTAAGACCAAGATGCAACGTAGAGTCCAAGAGGTGAGGAAACATGACAAAAAATCACAGGGTTCGAACAAAGTTTAAAGCAGTTATCAGCAGTTACCAGCGGTTATCACCAGTTGAAGGTCATAGACACGAAGAAAAGATTATGGGCTCGAAAAAATGATCGTGGGTAACAGCGATTATTAAGAAGTCACAATCATCAGCATGATCATAAGCAGTTGAAGATAATAGAGAGCAGTGGTTGAAGGCAATCACGCACAAGAAACAGTTATTAGAAAGTGCGTGTGAAAAAAGGAGAGCGGTTGAAGAACATCGCCTATAAATATTACAAAGCTTCATATTCCGAAGGACTTTTTACACCTAGGCACTACACTTGAAACTTTCTGCACGCTGAAATTCTGCATCAAGTCAGACACCAGCTACCAAGAGACACAGACTGTTGTTATTTAGTGTTGAAGTTGTACATTTACTTTTCTGTAATTTGTTTCCAGTTTCTAGTTTCATTTTACGTTTTATGTTCCTACAATTACGTCTTTGTTTAATACTTTTTTGTAAACGTTTAGTTTGATATTGTTTCCATTTCATTGTTCTACTATTCCTGTTTAAATTTGTGCTTTACAACGTCTCATTCATTATCACGTTAACCACACACTTAAAAGAATATAAGAAAACCTAAAATCTAGTCCCGAGATTACTCTTAGATTTATTTGTTTACAACCTATAATTTTCATTGTAAACAGCTAGCCTACTATGTTTTGATATAAAGTAAAAAGAATCAATACAAAAAAAGCTCTCAACAAAGGAGTAAAAACAATATATGTGTATTTACTTATCCCTAAGAAATAGATGCACAGATCCAGCTTTGTCTTTATGTCTACAGTTAGGTCCGTATGTACCTATTCCATTTTTTATGGATATACATAATTATATTACTAATTTGATGCTCACCCTACTAAATAATCAAGAAAATAAAGAATTGAAAGTATGAGGTAAGATAGCTAAAAACTATAAGAATTGAGATGAATGTAAAACAAGCAAATTATCTATATTTTGAGCGAATAGAATTTTTTTGATCCAGGTCCTCTCTCGTTATGGTGAAAATTGAACGTCTAATTTCATTTTTACTTAAGCGAGAAATGGACTCGCTTAAGTAAAAATGAGAAAAAGAAATTTTTTTTTACGTAAAATTCATTTAAGTGATTTTTTTTTTCTTAAGAAATTTTGTGCATTTGAAGAGAAGAGAAAGAGATTAGGTGTGGATGAAAAGGGGACTGGGGTGGGTGGAGACGGGAGAAAGCTAGCGGTATAGAGATGGTGGTAGAGTAAGAGAAGGGTGGAGGAGTTGAGTATGAAAAGAAGAGAGAGAGGTGAGTATGGAGGTGAGTGAGGTGAGAGTGAGAAGAAGAAAAGAAGAGTTAGATATGAGGTGGAAGGAAAAGAGGAGTTGAGTATCAAAGGAGGAAGATTGAATATAGAGGTTGAGGAGGAAATGTTAGGCATAAAAAAAAAAGGAGAGGAGAAAATTAGGAGAGAAGACCCAAAATTCATTTAAAAACAAGTTTTATAAAAAAGAATTTGTAATTTTCTCTATTTTCGCTTAAAGTTCCTGACTTCTTACCACAATCGGAGAGGATTTGGATCTCATATTTGTGGGTTGATAAAAGATAAGAACAAAAATGAAAGTGTCAAAGTTTAAAAAATATATAATTAGAATAATAAATGTTTACAAGCAAAAAAAAAGGAAATTCTTGTATAAGGTATGAAATTGTTTTAACTGATGAAAATTGAGAGGAAGAAAAACTTTTGTGGTTGAATTAAATGCTTATCAGCATAAGACATTTAAAAATTAATATGTCAAATATATGAGGAAGGAAGTGAGGCTAGAGAGTAAATAAATAGTAATTATAATTAAAAAAATACACGAAGGAGAGAATAGATGACTTGAATGAGAAGGAATGTCATTTAAGAGAAGATTTGCTTGAAGGCGTGAATAGACAATTAGGAATTCAACCAAAATATTTATTGATGTGGCAAAAAGTTATGTTAATTGAGAAACTGAAATGTCAATATTATAGCTTGAGCCCCATTTTTTATATATTATATAAATAGATATTAATAGTTTGCTGATATATTTTTGTATCACATAATTTTGATTCTCAATGCATGATATGTCTTTTGTTTTTATTTTTTTGTTCTTAAGAAAGCTAGAGGTCAACAAATGCAATTGCTCCACATTTTAAAAGTCTAATTCTATTAAGATAATAATAATAAAAAGCTTATTTTATTAGGTAAAGTTGATTACATAAAATTAAAAATTAAAAATTAAAAATTAAAAATTAAAAATTAAAAATTAAAAATTAAAAATTAAAAATCAAAAATAAAAAATAAAAAATCAAAAATAAAAAATCAAAAATCAAAAATCAAAAATCAAAAATCAAAATTTCAAATTATTATTTATTATAAAATTTCTTTTAATAATTTCTTCTAGAGCTCTTGATTTCCATCTACACTTTTTTATCTAAAATAATTTATTTTTATTACTTTTCATTTCCCAATTTAGCAGAACTTGCCTTTGCGGCTATCAAAATCCACAATTAATGCATATCCTACGAAAGTTGAAATGTCTACCATTCTTTAAGCCAATTCTTAGCTGTTAGCCAATAGCTCATGAATAAATATTTTAACTGCTACCAAGTCCTGATTATCAATGTCCCATATCTGCTTTTGACTTCTTAAGCCTGACGCTTTACAATAGTCTCTTACATCCGAGAGCCTGTTAAGATAGTTGAGAATAAGCCCATTTAATGTCAGGTTCCACTTTGTCCATTCAAATTTAAGGATGTCTTAGTTAGGATCCAAGTTCCACTATTACTAGCGTGAGTTCTGGTATAAAGTAGCTGCTTAGAGAATTGAGAGTCTCAAACCTTCAAACGATAGAAGAGGGGGTGAGGAGACATTTTCCATGATGATATTAAGTAAGTAAATCCTAGCTCCAATTCTCCCAACATATATAAAAAGATGACTTCAAATTTTTGTTAAATAAATGGCCATACATTGTGGCAACATAATAATACCAGCCACTTCCATTCCCAAAACAAATCTGTGCACTGGGGTGTATTCATTTGCGTTGCACTATGGATAGGGTTGCAGACACATGCAAAACAATAACATGTTTTGTTAACTGCCCAGATGCAATGTTCGCTTAAAAGATAATTTATCTCATTTCTAAGAAAACAATTAATCCGACCGTATATTCCATAAATCAGATAGCCTAAACAAGACATTTCTAGAGGTAAAAACACACAAAATAATTGAACCAAACAAAACTAAGACACCTTGTCCTTCATAACATTGATCCAACCTGTGAAGCTGGAATGAAACAAGTAAGACCTACTTCTTCTTATCACCGGCTCCACCAGCCCTGCACAAAATTAAAAATAATAGCATAACATTCTACTTTCATCAAGTAATAATAAAAAGTTCAGTAAAACGAATGCCAATGGTGCCAAATCACAAATGAATAAAGTGCAACCTCATCTTTCTGAGAACGTTAGACATCTCCTCTCTCTTCTTCTTTGCACGTTTATGGGTTCCAAGCTTTCTCTTGGCAACTTTCAGTGCCCTCTTATCTTTCCCAACCTTGAGCAACTCAGTTATACGCTTTTCATATGGTGCAAAACCTGCAACCTCACGGATGAGGTTCCTCACAAAGTGCACCCGTTTGCTTGTTTTCTGTTTGAGCAACATAATATTTAGGACTACATTAAAAGGCAAGCAAGCACAGAACATCAAATTCAAACCTACAGTGCTAGTGGAAAACCATTCAACAATTTCCTTCTTTCCAGTAACTTTTCCCAAATCTTTCGAATATTTCAATAGGAAAATGCTAATCTACAAATTATGAGAATGTGTCTGGAACCGCAACAAGTTGTAAACAAAAGGACTGCAGATAAAGGCTTCATATATTAAACATCTAAATTTGAGAAAAACAGTGCCTTCAATCTGCGAAACTAACAGACACAGTATGTAATTATTAAATCTTTCCTGTTTATATGCATTTTTTATTATTGCAAACACACAGAACTTAATATATTGATAAGAAATGCAATTAACTTAAACTAAACTAAATCCAATAAATAGATTACAACATAGAATCGAACAACGTAGCAATAATATATAAACACACAAAGTGACTATAATTGAGTGTAGCTAACTATAAGGCTTGAGAAATCGTAATGTAACAAAAAGAGAGAAAAATACCCCTTTGCGATCGGAGGGGCGAGGAGGAAGATCCTTCTTGGTAACAACGTGACCCTTATTCAATCCAACAAAAAGACCCGTACTTGGCTGTTTTGGTGCCATTTCCCTGATTCAAACAACAATCCCCAATTCAATAACCACACAACCATTTTCCACGGTTTAAACAATAATCTAGTAGCAACGTTAATAATATCGAATGCCACAAAAAAGAGATCGAAGGCGCGAAAACAAGAGTGAAAGGAAGAGGCTTTAGGTACCTGTTAGAGCTTGGGGAAGAACTAGGGTTTTGGGAGTTTCTGCTTCGCGTTTTATTACGGACAAAAGAAAGAGAAGCCGCTGCTTGCCGGGCCGGCTCATGGACCGTTTATTGGGTTCGAGGCATTACAAAACAGGCCCTATGGACTTTTAGGCTTGGGCCCAGCTTTATTGCTGCATTCTTGTAGAGATAAAAAAAATTGATAATTTAAAGATAAAAAAAGTATAAATATTAAGTCACCTCAACTCACTAATCTGCTTAAAAAAAGGCAAGGAGCGGCTTCTCTTTCTTTTGTCCGTAATAAAACGCGAAGCAGAAACTCTCAAAACCCTAGTTCTTCCCCAAGCTCCAACAGGTACCTAAAGCCACTTCCTTTCACTTTTGTTTTCGCGCCTTCCACCCCGTTTTTTTCGCATTATATTATTGTTTGAATGTTTGAATTGTGGAAAATGGTTGTGTGGTTATTGAATTGGGGATTGTTGTTTGAATCAGGGAAATGGCTCCGAAACAGCCAAGTACGGGTCTTTTTGTTGGATTGAATAAGGGTCACGTTGTTACCAAGAAGGATCTTCCTCCTCGCCCCTCCGATCGCAAAGGGGTATGTTTCTCTCTTTTTGTTACATTCCGATTTCTCAAGTCTTATAATTAGCTACACTCAATTATAGTCACTTTGTGTGTTTATATATTATTGCTACGTTGTTCGATTCTATGTTGTAATCTATTTATTGGATTTAGTTTAGTTTAAGTTAATTGCATTTCTTATCAATATGTTAAGCTCTCTTTATGCTGCAATTATTTACTCTATGTTCACAATATAGAAAAATGCATAATAGCGGGAAAGGATCTGATAATTACATTATGTGTATCTGAGTTTGCAGATTGAAGGAACTTTTTTGCTCAAATTTAGATGTTTAATTTATGAAGCCTTTATCTGAATCCAGCTTGTTATGGTTCTAGATGCATTCTAATAATTTGTAAAACAACATTTTCCTATTTTAAAATCTAATAGGTTTGGAAAAATATATAAAATACTGCAAGAAAGGAAATTGTTGAAGGGGTTTGCCATTTCATAGTCTGTGCTTGCTTGTCTTTGATGTGGTCCTAAATATTATGTTGTCCGAAACAGAAAACAAGCAAGCGGGTGCACTTTGTGAGGAACCTCATTCGCGAGGTTGCTGGTTTTGCACCATATGAAAAGCGTATAACTGAGTTGCTCAAGGTTGGGAAAGATAAGAGGGCACTGAAAGTTGCCAAGAGAAAGCTTGGAACCCATAAACGTGCAAAGAAGAAGAGAGAGGAAATGTCAAACGTTCTCAGAAAGATGAGGTTGCACTTCATTCCTTTGTGTTTATGCATGCACACCATTTGTTTTATTAAAACTCATGTTACTTCATGAAAGTAGACTTCTTATGTTATTTTTCTCTTCAATTGTGTGCAGGGCTGGTGGAGCTGGTGATAAGAAGAAGTAAGTCTTGTTTTGTTTCATTCCAACTTCACAGGACGGATCAATGTTTTGAAGGACAAACTATCATAGTTTTATTTGGTTAATTATTTAGTGCATTTTTGCTTCTAGAATTGTCTTGTTTAGATTATGTGATTTATGGAATGTACCATTGGTTTATATTGTGTTTTATTAGAAATGAGATAAAATCATTTTCAAGCAAACATTATATTTTCGCAATTAACAAAACATTTTTTTGCATGTGTCTGCAATCCATAGTGCACACCAAAAGATACACCGTGGTGAATAGCTATTTATTTTGGGAGGGTTAAGCACATATTTTGTTTCAGCATATTTTTGTGTAGCATTATGAGCGAGCTTTTAAAAACTTAGCGATTATGAACTCATCCAAGCTTCCCTACATGTTTACTTATTTGGCGTTTGATTCAACAAATCATTCATTCCGTACTACTAATACGCATAACATTTGAAATCATTAGCAACAATAGGTGCAGTAAACATTTGGGGTTGATTAACTTTAGTTTGGGTTTGTAATTGAGTCAAGTCGTTGATGTGTAGGCTTAATTTGTTAAAAAAAGCGTTGCTAAGTTTTTTATTTTAATTAAAATAAATTAAACTTAAGCTTTTTCATTTATGGCTTTAATATTTTTTATTTATTGGATTATTTTTGGAAAAATACTCTTTTTATCGATTATCATTTAAGAGATACCCACGTGTTATAAAGCGAATAAGATAATTTTCAAATAAATTTAATATATATAAAAACGACTTAAGTTTTGTAAATAAAATGTTTGATGATGAGAATGGTGGATTTCTTTTAAGTTTATGGTTAATTGCTTAAGTTGTGATTCATAAAATTTAAATTGAGGAAATTATATCTGTAAAAAATTTATAATTTTCAAATAAATATAATAAATAAAATCGTAACTAAATATGTAATAAACATACATATGAGCTAATTGCTAGTTATTATTTTAAATTTGCGAAAATTAGGTTTGAATGATTTAAATAATTAAACATTAATTTATATTTTTGTTAAATTGTTGGTATTTAATACAATTGTATTTTTTAAGATTCATTCAAACTTGCAATTAAAAGTGAAGCTAAAATAATCTTGCCAAACCTAAGTTCTTAGTGGTTAATAAGTTGAATTTGCATAATTCATGAATATTATAATTTCTTTATACTTAATAATTTTGATAATCCTTGATTAAGACATCCATAGCAGAGATTGTGATTAAATAAATGCATATATAAAATAAATTATTAAATTTTAACGATAAGTATTTTAATTAATAGTTATTATTTTGTACTTTCTTTTTTTATCCAACAAGATCAATTCAACCATGCACATAATTTCCCACAAGGTAAGATGTGCTTTTGCTTTTATCCAACAAGGTTTTTTTTATCCTTTTGCTTTTTCTCTAAGGATCTAATTTGTTGGGGCCTGGGGGCAAAGTCATTGCCCATAGTCGTAATTTCTTGTTCGAATAAATCTGGCTAATTCATTTACAGTGTTGAGAGAAATATTAATAATATATTGTTTAAAAAATTTATTTTAAATATACTTTAATAAATTATTATTGAATTGTTCTCTAAAAAACATCAGTTTCCTTGTGAATATGTTTGATTTTTTTAAAAACGTGTTGATATTTTAAAAAATAATTAATAGTAAATAATGTTTTTTTTTTGGGTTTGATCCACTTTATTTAATAACGATAGGAAAGTTCTTATTAAGTTTTAATATAATATATATAATTATGCTACAGTAGTTAGTGAAAATGTATTTAAAGAAATGTATAACAAACATTTGTCATAACTATGTGGATGAATTACTTATCAAATATCATGGTAGGAACCATACTAAAGGTTTTTCTAATAAGGTTGATAAATTACCATATAAATAAGGTTGAAAGGGCCAATTATTAAAATACAGGACACTTAAATAAAAGTTTTTCTAATTTTAAAAAATAAAGATATCTTCTTCAACAAAAGATGGAAATGATGCCTTTAATTTGTTTATGTCTTTAGATAATTTATTTATTTATTTATTTTATTGAGTTAGTGCATCAACACTTTATAAATTATTATTGGCGCTTTTTAATATATCTCTTTTACAAAAAAATATTAAAATGTAATAGAGGTTGAATATCAATTAAACTAACTAATTCCTTTTTCTCATACAATTTTGAAAAAATGTGATGCATTTGTAAGTTATATTATTTACATAATCATTTTTAACATTTTTTACAATGTTTTTTTAATCATATTAATGATATTTTCATATTTTTACACCTCTCTTTATTATATATAATATTTGTACGGACACAATGTCACTACGTGGATACTTCCCTTGCAAAGTGCGGAATAGCACATTATCACTCTGGAAAAATGGCAGATAAGAGTATCCCCAAACTCAAAGTGTCATCATAACTAGCAATTATTTAGACTGACCCACTTATCTTATCTACTTATGCTCCAAAATTAGATGGAATTTAATGTGATGAATGAAGTCAGATGATGCAAGACAAAACAAAACAAAATTATTATATTATTATTTAAATATTTTATAACACAAGGAAATAAAATTTTTATTTATTATTTAAAAATTAAAAAATATTAATCAACAATAAAAAATATTTCATATTCTCAAATTTAAAAAAAATTGGATGAACATAACGATCAAGATCTCTTCATTTCATTTCAAATAACTTTTTAAACTATAAAAAACCCACAAAATAAATAACTTCATATATGGAAGTCTTAACAAATATATTGAATTATTGAATTATTTTATAACTTTTGGTGAAATAAATAGTTTCCTTTTTGACATTATTTTTAATTATTAGTTAACAACTCATGAATCTCACATCTATTTCATTTATTCTTAATCCAATCACATCCTAGAGGACAAATATGTAAATTGCAGTGTTTAGTATTTTCCAATCTCATGCCTTTCACATCACCCAATATGTAAATTGACAAGAGATTACTTCAATCGACTTATTTCATTCTAAAATATTTTCCATTTTAAAATTTTGTAAAATGGTAAGAAAGTTAATATTTTTCTTGAATAAAAAAAAACTAACTATAGAATTAAATTACTCGTTTCTTAAAATTAGTTATTTTTAATATTTATTTATAAAAAACCTAATTATGTAAATACCAACATGAAATGTTTTTAAAAAAGTGCAGAGAAAGAGGGATGTACTTCAAAAAAATATAATAAATAATTTTTAATTATAAAATCACAAATTTTTTTATTAAAGTGATTATTATTTTAAAATAGAAAGAATAATTGATAATATTAAGCTTACATTTTAATAATGTAATTGAATCAAAAGTTTGGAGAATGAATTTAACAACTGAATCCAAATTAGTCGAACATTTGGTATTTGATTAATTTTAGTTACATAAAATTAATTTTAATTAAAATGAATTTAAATAATTTAATATAATTAAAAATATGTAAATTAATTTAAGTTATATACTTCTTATTTTGTTTATCAAAACACATTTTTTATAAAATAAAAAAATAAAAAAATAAATTTAATTAAAAGAATTAATAGCGTAGATGTTTTTATTGAATATAAAAAATATATTAATAATTGACTTTTGTGATACTTAGTTTTTTTTAAATATTAATTTTAAATTTTTTTTTTGCTGATTTTTAAAAATTAATAATAATAATAAAGAGGATGTTTTTATATTTTTAATAAAATTTTATTACTTTTAATCATATCTATGATATTATTTACGTGTATCTAAATGTTTCATTTACCGTATATTATATAAATCAATGATATAAATATTAAAACGAAATCTAACAAGTGTCTATTGAAAAACAAAATACATTAACTTGCATGTTTTTTAATGTATTTTAAATAAGTTTTAGATGAAGATTATTATTATTAATTTTTAACTAATACGTTTACTAAAACTTTAAACAATTATTTTGTATCAGTACTTCTAAATCAAAGTCAAGTTAATTTATAACATCTTGGTCAAGAAAAAACAGTTTTAATATGATGACCGAATAAAAAAGAAAAAAATAATCCGAAGCGGCATCTCGTGAGCTTCCCTCACATTGCCTACGTTGCAGCAATGCAAAATCCAAACCCCAACGGGTTTTGTCAGCGTTTGACTTACAGGTTTGGCTACCCTTTCTCCTTTGCTTCCAATTTTGTCCATTGAAAATTCTGCATTATAATAGAATAATACCAAGTTTACAGCTCAGCATATGCATAACCAAATTTAAAAAAGAGAGAAAAATAAAACCTTACAAGCTCCTCCGAGGTTTATTCTTCAGACCATGACAATTAACAACCTACGACCCTGTCTACCCGTTGATCGAAGTTTCTTCTTTGAACTTTTGGGTTCCTTAATCTTTAATCAAAACTGAATTTTGGTCCTTTTTTCCCTTTCCTTCGTTGTTGCTTGCTCTTCTTGTGTGCCCTTTGTCCAATGCAAAATTTGTGATCTTGATCAATGATCATCTTTTAGTTTCTGGGAGTGCATCCCTGCTCGCAATTTTGATATTTATTGAGTCCTTGTGTATGTAATTTTGTGAGTTTAAGTTCATATTGTGTAATAATTTCTACAATCCCCTTTTGATGTGCATCTGCTGTTCTAGTAGAGTCAACTGTTATTGCAAGGAAGTTAAGAGTTTTTGTTTATTGCCTTTAGTTTCTTTGCTGATCACTGTGGTTATAGCACAGTTCTAGTCACTGAATTGCGTATTGATACCTGCAGCCGTCAATCAAATTGAACTTCCACTCCATAGTAAAAATTTTCAAATGTTTTAGTTGTATATGTATCTACGATTCTTTACAATCTGTATATTGGTATTCTGTCTATTGTACAAGAAAGAGAATAATATTGTACCCAAAAGTTTAAAATTCAATATCCATTTTTTATGTTCTTACCGTATAAGAAAGTCACAGCCTTGAGGAAATTTGTGCAAAACCCATATTGGTTTCCAGCATATATAGCTTAGCATGCATATGCTATAGGCACAATGTCAATCCTGTGTGGCCTTCCTCTTGTTGAGTGTGTGTACTGCCTGGCTTGCGCTCGTTGGGCTTGGAAAAGATGTCTTCATACTGCAGGCCATGACAGCGAGAATTGGGGCTTTGCTGCGGCAGAAGAATTTGAGCCTATACCACGCCTTTGTCGCTATATTTTAGCGGTGTACGAAGATGATCTTCGCCACCCCCTTTGGGCACCTCCTTGTGGCTATGGAATTAACCCTGATTGGTTAATACACAAAAGGACGTATGAAGATACCAGTGGTAGGGCTCCTCCCTATATACTGTATCTTGATCATGATCATGCTGATATAGTTCTTGCCATCAGGGGTCTAAATTTGGCAAAAGAGAGTGATTATGCACTTCTTTTGGACAACAGATTGGGGAAGAAAAAGTTTGATGGGGGGTATGTTCACAATGGGTTGTTGAAGGCTGCTGGCTGGGTTTTGGATGCAGAATGCGAAATTTTGAAGGAGTTGGTAGAGAAGCATCCGAATTACACTCTAACTTTTGTTGGTCATTCCCTTGGATCTGGTGTAGCAGCTATGCTGACATTGGTGGTGGTGCAGAATCAACATAAACTGGGAAATATTGAGAGGAAGCGGGTCAGGTGCTATGCCATTGCACCTGCTAGGTGTATGTCACTGAATTTGGCAGTCAGATATGCAGATGTCATCAACTCCGTTGTGTTGCAGGCAAGTTATCAAACTTTTTTTTTGTTTTAATTTGGCTGGTGATGGTTAAAGACTACTGTGTAAATCCTTGATTAATGCCTTATCAAATCTAAAACACCTAGAGCATATATAAAATAATTGGGTTACTAATAACTAATTATTGGATTGTGAGACTACACATCCAAGTATCCAATCCGTTCTATGAATCAAGCTACAATCAGTGGCAGCCCCATAGGCAAAAATCTAACATTGTGGATGTCAAGAGAAGGTAGTTTGTTTTAAATTTGCTTCTTTTGATGTATGTTTGTATGAAGTTCTTGGCTTGTTTATAGAAAGAAATCAACAGAAATGTTTTGAATGCTGTCGTTTTCTTACTTGAATGGCTACTGTTGAAGTCCCACATTGATTATACATATGGCCAAATAAGAATTTATAAAGAATAAAACGATCCTCATTTTACAAGCAAACTTTTGGGGTTGAGTTAAGCTTCAACCCAAATTTAAGAGTCATAAATTGAAAATACTTACTAACAGGGTGAAGGGATGAAAATCGATAATAACCTCTGATTATAATCCATAATTTAAATTGATTTTTCTTTTTTATTGACTTTGTTGTCAGTTTATCAGAGACTCAGAAGTACAGATTCTGTATATTGATTTTTTTGTTTTCTTAATGATGACTTACACTTTCATGTCTCATAGTGTAACCATTCAGGTAAAATCATGTGTGGGAAGGTTATGTGCTAGATGGTATCTCTGTATTTTGAAAACAATTATATCCACAGTAGCTACTTTTAGTGAGAGATGAATGAACACATTTAAGTGTTAAGAGAGAAACAAGCTCCAAGAGCTTGCATGAGTATTAGTCTGCTCAACACATGTCAAATATTTGGACAAAGATTGTTTCATATGGAGCATGATGACCTAGTTGATGATTTATTTCTATAAGTAGTATTTGGCTTAAACTTACTATGTGTATGCTTAAGATAATATACTAGCCTAGTTGCTTTGAGCATAAGCTGCATTGCAAATCTTATCTTGCTTCATGTTTCCTTATACTTGATGATACTGAATCTACTACCATGATGTTGATCACTCTTTACCTTGATCAGGATGACTTCTTACCAAGGACAGCCACTCCATTGGAAGATATATTTAAGTCTCTTTTTTGGTATGTCTCAAGGACTTGTTGAGAATCTGAATCAATATCTATTATTAGTGTTTATTTCATTAAAATTTTTACTTTATGAGTTTTTATTATATAAATTATTGATGTTAATAAGTTGTTACACATTCATGAATGATTTTATTTATGATTTATTTCCAAATTAATGGATAGAATTAGAATCAATTTTTAGTTATGACTTTCTATTTAAAGGTTGTGTTAGTATGAAGAAAAATGTGAGTTTTAGTTTTTAATTTTATAGCCTTTTAAATTTCTTTTAGATCGAACAGTTGGTAATCAAAGCCTTATTTGTTCTTAAAGGACTTGGTAAGGTTGAGAGTTTCACCAAACACCCAAACACTTACATTTAGGATTGAAAATGCAGTCTGATAACTCAATCATAACACCACCAGTTTTTGAAGGTGAGAATTATCATCAATGGACAATTAAAATGGAGGATTTTCTTGATGCAAGTGATCTTTGGGAGGCTGTTGAAGAAGATTATGAAGTTAGATAGTTTCTAGAAAATCCAATGCTTAATCATATCAGGTTTCATAAGGAAAAAAAAAAAAGAAGCAAAAATCAAAGGCAAAATCTTGCCTATTGTCTGTTGTTTTTCTAACAATTTTTACCAGAATTATGACTTTGAAGTCAGCAATGGCCATTTGAGATTTTCTCAAGTAGGAATATGAAGGAAATGAGAAAGTCAAATGTATACAAGTGCTAAATTTAATTAGAGAGTTTGAGATGCAGCGGATGTAATAGTTAGAAACAGTGAAAGAATACTTTGCCAAACTTCTAAGCATTGTCAATAGAGTGAGGTTGTTTGGAATTGAGTTTCTTGATATGAGAATTGTTCAAAAAATTATTGTAACTGTTCTTGAGAGGTTGAATCCACTATTTTCTTTTTGGAAAATTATAAAGATTTGTCAATTATTACTTTGGCATAATTGTTGTATGCTTTGCAAGTCAAAGAACAAAGGAGATCATGAGTGAGGAAGGCTTGATTGAATGTGCATTACAGGCTAAACTGAAATTCAGTCATGGCTACAAAGAAAAGAAAAAGAAGGTTTAAGGCAGCAACTTTAGAAAAAGGAGAGAGTTCTAACAAAGGCAATAAAAGAGAGGATGAAAAGGCAAATCATCTTCCTTGTCAGCACTATGGAAAGAGGAATCATCCTCACTTTAGATGTTGAAGGAGGCCTAATATACGTTGCAACAAATGCAACCAGCTTAGTAATATTGCAAAAATTTGCAAAAACAAAATGCAGCCTCAAATTGAGACTCACGTGATTGATCAACAAGAAGAGAAGAAACAATTATTTGTAACAACTTGTTTTGTCATTAGCAACAATGATGAAAGTTGGTTGATTGACAGTGGATGCACGTATCATATGACATATGATGAAGAATTGTTTAAAAAGTTGAATCAGACTACCATTTCAAAAGTAATAATTGACAATAGAGAGTGCATAGATGTGAAAAGAAATGACATTGTTGCAATTGAAAGTTGCTTAGATATAAAAATAATCACGGATGTGCTCTATGTACCTGATATTAATAAAAATTTGTTGAGTGTTGGCCAGTTGCATGAAAAAGGCTACAAAGTCTTGTTTGATCAAAGATGCAAGTGGAAAGGATTTGTTCAAAGTCAAAAAAGGAAAGGAAAAAGCTTCAATTTAGATTTGATGGAAGAAATGCAAGTTGTTGTTTCAAGCTCAGTTAATGTCATTGAAGTTTGACACAAGAAAATGAGTTCTTTTAACCATGTTGCATTGCTAAACATGAAGAAACACAATATTGTGAAAGATTTGTCATCATTGAAAAATCACTTAAGTAGTTTTAATGCGTGCCAATATGTGAAGCAAACCAAGTTGTCATTTACACAAGCAAGTTAGAGAGTTTTGTAGAACCTACAGTTGATTTACACAAACCTTGGATGACTTCAACTTGAATTGTCTTTAAAAGAGAGTAGATGTTATATTGTTTTTATTGATTATTTTACAAGAATGTGTTGAATTTATTTCTTGAGATTCAAGTACGAAGTTGCAGGAGTGTTTTGGATGTTCAAGACTTGGATTGAAAATCAATCTGGGTGTAAAATTGAGATTCTAAGGTCTGTTAATGAGAAATAGTACACATCAAAACAATTTAATTCCTTTTGTGAAGAGGTTGAGATTGAGTATCACAACAAAATAAAGTAAAAGGAAGAATAAAATAATAATGGAGGTGATTTGATATATGAAGACTTCCAAAGAAGTTATGGGCTGATGAAGTTATAAATACAGCAGTGTTCCTATTAAACAACCTTCATACAAAAGCAATGCAAGGAAAAACTCCTTATAAAGTGCAGTTAAACAACCTTCCTAAAAAAGCAATCCAATGAAAAACTCCTTATAAAGTGCAGTATGACTATAAACATTTTGTTCAAAACTTTATATGTTTTACTTATGTGTCAAAGGTTAAAAGAAATAAGTTTGATAAAAAGGTAGAAGCAAGAATTTCCATTGGCTATAACACAACTTCAAAAGCTTATAGAATCTTCCAATTACAAATTGGTAATGTTCTAATAAGCAAAAATCTTTATTTTGCTAAAGATAAACAATAGAGCTGAGAGAAAAATGAACAGAAGCAAGTTGCTAATATTTCTTTTAAAGAAGATAAAGATGAAAATGTTGATGACCCACTTGTTAGAGGAACCAAATTACTTTTTGATATTTATGAAAAGTGTAGTGTTGTTGTGTTAGAATCTGCAGATTTTCCTCAAGTAGAAAAAGATCCAAACGGGACTGTTCTAATGCAATAGAAGCTTAACATGATTGAGAAGAACCAGACAGGGGGATTAGTTCTTAGATCCAACACAACAATGTTATAGGTGTTAAATGGATTTTTAAGAAGACACCTTGCAGATGGTTCTATTAATAAGTATAAGGGTAGACTTGTAGTGAAGGGATATGTTCGAGTATTTGGACTTGATTTCTTCAAAACATTTGTTATGATTGCTCAGCTTGATACAATCTGATGGGTTTTTGCCTTTGTAGCACAAAAAAGATGTAAAATTTCTTTTTCTCAATGGTTATTTGTAGGAGATATATGTTGAGCAACCTAAAGGCTTTGCACTTAAAGAATAAGAAAACAAAGTCTATTTACTAAAGAAGGCCTTGGATGATTTAAACCAGGCTTTATATGCCTGGTATAGTAGGATTGATGAGTATTAGTTTCACAAAAGTTTTAGTAAGTCAACTCTTTATGTGCAATGTTTGAATTATGATATTTTGTTACTTTATATATGGATAATCTCTTGGTGATAGAAAGCGATATTGTATTTGTTGATAAGTTCAAGAAAAATATGATGAAAGTCTTTGAAATGATAGTCTGTAGAGAGATAACTTTCTTTCTTGGCATGGAAGTCAAAAAAGGTGAGAAAGAAATTTGTATTAGTCAAAAGAATATGCAGAATAAATTCTCAAAAAATGGAGAATTCTAAGCCCGTGGGTATTTGAATGTTTTAGATGTTGAAGTTTTGCAAAGAGGATGATGTAGAAAATGTTAATGAAACTAATTTTAGAAGTCTTATCATTGTCTCATATATCTTATAACAAAAAGACCTGGTATTTTGCAAGTTGTAATTGTTATTTCTAAATTCTTACATTATGCAAATGAAGTGCATTTTCAAGTTACTAAACCTGTGCTCAAATATGTCAAAAGAACTCTTGGTTACGGAGTTTGGTTCAAATATAATTAATAATTTAATTTCTATTGTTTTCTGATAATGATTGAAGATATTCATTGGCTGATATGAAAACATTTCTAGTTATTGCTTTACATTTGGTTCTAAAGTGTTTTCTTATGCCTCAAAGAAGCAAGATATTGGGCACAATCAACTAAAGCAGAGTTAGAGTTCATAACTACTACTGCAGCTGTTAATCAAGCCTTTGCTGAGGAAAATTATAGGTGTTTGTAGATAATCAATCAACAATTGCAATTTTTAATAATTTTTCATGAGAGGGCTAAACGCTTCAATATCCAATTTGTATTTTTTAGAGAAGTTCAAAAAGAAGGTGAAGTTTTGTTAGAATATTGCAAGATAGAACACCAATTAGCAAACATTTTTTACAAAGGTGCTTCTAAAAGGATGGTTTGAGAATTTGAGAAAGAAACTTGGAGTCAATAACTACTGATGCAAGAAGGAGTATTGAGAATCTGAATCAGTGTCTATTATTATTTTTTATTTCATTAAAATTCTTAATTTATGAGTTTTGATTATAGGAATTATTGGTGTTAATGAGTTGTTACACTTTGATGGATGATTTATTTCCAGAGCAATAAGTAGAATTAGAATCAATTTTCAGTTATAAAGTTTCTTATATTTAAAGGTTATTAGTATGAATAAAAATGTGAGTTTGCTTTCAATTTTATTGGCCTTTAAATTTGTCTTAGTTCTAAGAGGACCTATGTAATTATGGCTTTCTTTCTGTCAATTCAAGGATGGAATATACTTTAGCATGCTAAAGTCTATTCTACATGTTCAATCCCTTTCACCTCCCCACACCAAATTTCTAAATGACTTGTATGTGTAACTAACCCTGATTTTCTATAACCCCCTCATCCCCCACTCGAAAAAAAGAAACAAAACTAATATAACCTTGATTTTTGTGAAGCAATCTTTTTCCCCTTAAAAATAAGGTTTATGCTTGTTTTGCTGAAGGTTTTTTCTTTTCACTTGTAACTTAAGTAGTGAAACTGTATGCTTGTAGAGGAAAAAATTTCATTAGTAACTGACACTCTATGAAAAGGTGATGCCAGCACATGGTCAAAACCGTTGTTTGTGTAATTTTAATGTGGTGAGATATTTTGTGGTGATAAAAGATTGTTTTCTGTGGCTGGCAGTTTACCATGCCTATTATGCTTGAGGTGCATGAGAGATACATGTATACCAGAGGAGAAGATGCTCAAAGATCCAAGGAGACTCTATGCGCCCGGTCGCCTTTATCATATTGTTGAAAGGAAGCCTTTTAGGTATGGTTAAAACAAAAGAGAGCCTATGCCTTGTGCTGAATTCTAACTTTTTCTGTGGAAGTTTCAGTTTAGACTTGATTACTTTTTTTAAATATCTCGTATGCATATTCTCTTGTTGATTGCACGATAAAACATGTTAACATGGTCATGTTAAAAAAATGTTTATACAGCCTTTTCTTTTGGCCTCATCTGAATTCCTGAACATCTTTACAAGCAGAATGGGAAGGTTTCCCCCAGTTGTGAGGACAGCAGTGCCTGTAGATGGAAGGTTTGAACATATAGTTCTTTCTTGTAATGCCACATCTGATCATGCCATTATTTGGATAGAGAAAGAAGCTCAAAGGGCTCTGGATGTAAGTGTAATTGTTTATTGGGATAAGTGTTAGTTTCTTTGTCTCTCTGCGAAAACCATAATTAACTGTGGCTGTGGACGCAATATCTTTCCCTTGAGATTTGAAATGATATGAATACATGTATATGTATTATGAGGAATCTGTAAATTGATACAAAGGGTCTGTCTGAAAAAGCTTATGAACAATTTATGGAAATAACTTGTGATTCTCATAAACTCTTTAGCTTATTTCAATATATTTTATGATTAAATTTATTGCATAACTTACTGTTCAAAAAGAACATATTGAATAAGTACTTGATTAGGTTGTATGTTCTAATGCACCCAAATAACAATATGTATACTTCTGCTTTGTCTCACTCTCGTATGTAGTTTCATGAATTAAGCAAAGAGCTCAATTGATTTGCCTTTTGCTGTTCTTCTAGACTTATCAATTTCTATGAATATGCAAGTATAAGAAATCATGTTCCACAATTTGGCATTCTATTTAATGAACCAGAATTAACCTTTCTCTTGTGTTTTCGGTTAACCGCAGTTGATGCTGGAGAAAGATCATCCCATGGAGATCCCTGCAAGGCAATCAATGGAGCGTCAGGAAACGCTGACAAGACACAATGTTGAATATAAAGCAGCATTACAAAGGGCCAAGACATTAGATGTTCCACATGCTTATACACCACCATCGGAATATGGCACTTTTGATGAAGAGGAGGGAGAGGAGAACTCAAGAAGATCACAGGGTGAGTCTTCTAATAAAAGTACAGCGGATGAAAGCTGGGATGCATTGATTGAGCGTCATCTTGATAAAGAGGAGCATGGCCACCCTCTGCTCAAGAAAGAGTCATTAAATAAGTCATTTTAGTAGTCTTGTAGATGTATATTGTGGATAGCAAATTCTTTCATTCTTTTGTGGGTCTATTTGTAGCTCAAACATGAAACTTGTTAGGAATCAAGATTCATATTTACAGTCAAACCCTAGGAAGTGAGTTTGGCTCCTAGAAGTTGATATTATGCTCTGTGAGAATTTGAACCCAGCACTAAGAGTAAGCTATTAACATGAATGAGGAAAAAACTCAAAAATTTGGCCTTTGTTGTGGGATTGTCCCTGTAATTTTCTAGTCATAAATTCGATTTGGAGGCATAATTTCCACCTTTTCTAATAGAATTATTTACCTAAACACAGGTCTTCTTGAGTGTACGTAAGTCTTTTTGTGCCCACCTAAGTTAGAAAACACTTCCCGTCATTTACTTAGATAGTCCATTGGGAGATTAAAAAAAAAAAAAAAACAAAACAAATATTTTATTTGTTTCACAAATATTATGGAATGCATAAAATACATCTATTTTTCTTTTTTTTTTTTCCGTTCCCAATGGATCATCAAGTGAATGGAGAAGATTCTAACCCACTCAAGTTTGCTCCTATTGTTTTTCTCCTCTACCAAAATTAAATATGTACTTAAAAATGACTACATTTTTTTTCTTTTAAAACATTGGCCATAAGTATATTTAAGCTTGTGTTTTTTTAACAACTTTCAATATTATAAATTTTTAATTTGATAAGAGTTTAACAAAGGAACAATATAAGAAAGAAAAAAAATTATAACAACTAATTATAACTTTTGAAAAAGAGAGAATAAATAATAAATTTATAATATTGAAAGCATAAGAAATTTATTTAACTTTATTAAAATATTTATTTAATTATTATTAGCTTGATCAGAATTAATTTTTAATAAAAAAAACAGAGCTATCGACACATTATAATTATATGAATATATTGTGAATAATAACTAGTACTACAGTACTTCAACAACTCATTTATTGTATTTTAAACACTATTATTTTAAGTAATAAAAAAAAACTGTATATTTAGGATTGTTTGGGAATAGAAATTTTGGAGGAGGGGGAAGATTTTTTTTAATTTAAAATAAATATGTTTAAAAATAATAATTTTTAAAATAAAAGATATAAATTGATATGTTAACAAAAAAAAATTAATGTATTAATTATAAATTTGTTATTACAAATAATATATAATTATCTTAATTGAAAAGTATAAATATGTCTTTTTTTCACTCTTTTCCTAAAAATTCTCTCCCAAATATAGTGTGTTTGGATTAGATGTTTTAATTGAGTAGTTATTTTTTGAAAGAATTTATAATTATATGGGTTAAAATTTTTATTTAGATATTTAATTTTAAAGAATTCAAAAATTTAAGAATTTCAATGAGAAATTTTAATAAATTAAAATAAAAAAAATTAAAATCCTAATAAAAGAGTAAGAATTTGAAAATTTTATCAAATTTAGTGAGAAGTTTAAGTGGAATAAATGAATTGCTCTCTCTATATTTATCATTTTTTTCTCTTTCTCTTGTGTCACCTCTTATTCTTCTCCTTCTCTCCCACATGCATATGGTTGTTAGGAATAACAACAATGTTTCAAGTATTTAAATGAAAAATTATTTTCTCACATTAATACATTTAAAAGTTCTTTTATTTAATTTGAGTCTTTTATTTAATTTATATCTAATAGTTAGTAAAAAAATAAATTATAAATTAAATAAAAATATTCAGTATAAATGTTTTTAAATTTATATTAGTGTAAGAAGATCTTTTTCCTTTATAAATATTTGATTCATATAACAAAAATTGTATACACACATTAAAAATTAAGAGAAAAAAAAAGTTTTGATACGATTATAGTTAATTTTTTATTTTATACATAATTTTTATTAATCTCATTCTTAGCCATCAAACACAATAATTAATAATAGTAAAAATTTATTTAAAATATTATTTATTTTATTTTTATAATTTTAATATAATAAATTTATATTTTTTCATAAAAAGTTCTATTTATAAATGCTTAAACTCTAACTTTAACAAAATCTTTTAAATATTTGAGTTATATGAGAAAAACATAACTTGAAGTTTGACTTAAAAACTTAAATAATAACTAAATATGGAATAATTTAAAATTGTTTAAATTTTGAAATTTTCTTGAATTTTTTAGTGCTCCATGGAAACTCTTAACTGTATGCTTGTGATGATAATTACTGTGGCTTCTAAATATAAGAAGAGGATAAATATTAACAATTCTTTACTCTGCAACACTTAACATCGGTTTAAAAAGAATTAAATTATTTATAAACAAAATAGATTGATAATAGTAAAAAATGAGTTATAATAAACTCTAACTTGATTAACTTTTAAAGTATGTAATCCATCTTTAATTGGATTAAACAAAAATGTTAACTTTATAAATTTTAAGCATGAAAGTACCTTAATCATATGTCATTAAGATTGTCATACAAACCAAACTATAATATAATATGCAAAGTAAAATTTATACATTTAATTTCGATTCAAAGACTTAATCGGTGTTTTTCTGCGGAAAAGCCAAAGGAGGACCTCTTCTCACATGCAAAAGATTATTTTTAGTTATATTAAATTTTTTTAAAAAGTACTGTTTATTTTTGTTTAATAATAATTAAAAAATCAACTTTGATTAAGGTTTTTTTTTTATAAAAGAAGAAGTTATTTTAGATAATCAAAATTTTGAAATTAATAATTAATAATTAAAAAATTGATATTTTAATTAACTCTTCTTCCATTTTTATTTTTAATAATTAATTACAAATATAATTAATTTTCTTTTCCAACGCATTCGATCCAAACTAGTAATGCGATATACAAAAAGAAAAGAGTAGTATAATTATGAAACTGTGAGATAATTTGGTAAGGAATAAAAGAAAAGGCAAGGCACCGAAGCGAGCAGCAATGAGAAGCAAAGGCATGAATTGCATCACATCGCATTCACATCACAGCAAAATGGAAATTTCCGATTACAGATTATCGATAGATAAAGAACTCGCGTTTGCATAAGCACTTCTGTTGCCTTGATCTCCGATTCCGTTTTCCACCGCTTCACAAATCTCTCAATGGCTTCTCTCTCCCTTCTTCTCACCTTGTTGCTGTTCTCCGTAATTGGCACTTCTTCTTCGGATAGGTAAATCCCACAAATGTCCTTCTTTTTTCACAAATTTTTGCCCTTTGTGACAGTGTGAGGGATAATATTAATATCAATTTTTGTAAAGTGTGATTAACTATATATTAAAATCATATAAAAAAAATTATACAATATAACATGATTTAATGAGTTGGAAATATTAAATGTTATAATTTTAATAAGCAAAATATTATTTGTTAATTTTTATTATATATTCACGCTAAAAAAAATATCAATAATAACAGTTTGAAACATAAAATTAGGGGCTAAAATAAAATAATGTTTTCAAAATTTCTGTTACTAATCGAATAATAGTATAGTCCGGATTAACAATGGAAATTATGCCTTAGGTTTCTGAAACTTGTGCAGGAGTTGCTGGTTTGAGATGACTTTTGTTTTCCTTTCATTTTTGCGAATAATTAAGAAAATTTCCCTTGTTTTTGTTTGTTTTCTACTTTTAAAGATTTCTACCGATAAAAAGTATAAATTTGTTTGCTTTCATTGTACAAATAGTTAAAAATAGGAAATCAAGAATAATGAGGTGGTTATTGTAATTTTGTAAAATGAGGACCAAGAGAATAATGAGGCATGCATGTTTTTGCTTAAACTAGTTTTCACATTATGGATCTCGATTACGAATTTGAACGATTTGGGATTAATTTGAATTTTGAAGTCTATAATGGATACTCAGGAACCATGGAATGGATTTAATTCCCATCATTCGGCTAATACGGCTGATTTTGTCTTTTGGGACTAATTTGACTATTGTTGATACTCAGTATAGTCCGGATTTTTTTTTAATTGTTGATGTCATTGTTAAGTATCCTAAGCAGCAGGAAGGAATTAAGGAACAAGCAGGAAACTGAATTGCAGCTGTTAGAGCACTCATTTCATTATTCCAACCGAATTGACCCATCACGTGTTGTCCAAATTTCTTGGCAACCAAGGTCAGGTACTTTCTAGAACTTTCCCTTAAATCATTACTGAATGATTTTGATGATGATGAAGATTTAAAAATCTTCTGTTTACTTATTTACTTGCCAGTTTTTTCTACTGCATTTAATTTTTCGAGCTTTGATGATGCCTCTGTTGCTGTAGGGTCTTTCTATACAGAGGTTTTTTGTCAGACAGGGAGTGTGACTACCTTATTTCTTTGGTATGATATGTTTCTGCTTTCAATGGTTTTCATAAATATTTAATTCTTGGGCTAGTCTTTGAATTTAACCCCCCATTTTTTGTTCCACTTAGGCATATGCCTTGAAGGAAAAATCATCAGGGAATAATGGCCTTTCAGAGGCGGTTGAAACCCCCTTGGATGTAGAAGTGAGTTTAAACTTTCTCCATACGTTTTCAAAGATGTTTGCTTATTAAGGATTTTTGTTTTGGTTGTTTCTCATGTTGTTCATTGTTCTCAACTTTTTGCTGATTGTGAAATGTTGTGTGTGGGTTTCTGGAATTGTGAAAATCTTGCCTAGTGGATATTCCTAATGCTGACTACTTTAAGAATAATTTAAACTAGGCCAATGTGAAGTTTGTGAATGATAAATAATTTTGTTTGCACTTTGTTAGAGATACAAACTGTTCTCAGTTCTCCTGTCAGCTTTAGCTGCGCCTTTGTAAGTTCGATATATATTACTAAGCCTTCACTTAATAGCTTAAGTCTTAGGTTGATTAGTCAGTTAAATAAGTCTTAGGTTGATTAGTCAGTTAAGCTAATAATGACTCTGAGATTCATGATTTGGGGACTAATTTGGCCAAAAAAGTTTCAAGGACCCAAGACAATTTCCATTAGGGAAGGACTAATTTAACCAATGCTATATCTTTTATGACTAATTTGACTATTTGTTCTATTAGGAAGGCTATGTTTGGTTTCATGTTTAGGTGGGGATAGAAGGAAAAGGAAAGCGTTAGTAGGGTTTAACTCTTGTTTGGAAGTTAATTATGAGAGGAAAGGTATGGAGTTTTTTCTAAATCCCAAAAACTCTCCTAATGTTGGTTTTTTGAGTTCTTCCGATATGGGAGTTTTTTAAATAAAATTTTAAAACGACTAATTTATCCCTACTTTCATTCTTAAAAAATTGTGATGGTAATTTTAAAGAAAAGAACAGTAAGAAAATAGTTTTTTTTTTTTTTTTTCAAAATATGTTAGTTTTTTATGTATTTTTTTTTAAATTTTATAAAAAATAAAAATATCAATTTTTAAAGAGAGAAAAATATTTAATTTTTTGTATTTTTTGAAAAGAATAAAAAAGATAAAATATTATGAATAAAAGATATAAAGGACAATAATGTTATTTTCATAATTAAAACCCATCACTCTCTCCTCTCAGGTTAAACATTAAACATAGGAGGAGTTTAACTCTCCTTCCCCCTCCCTTCTCCTCCCTTCCAAATTCTTTTCTTCCTTCCCCCTCCACACATCCAAAAGAGAAAAATGTCAAAGCATGTTTTGGTTTTAGCCCTCTAATTTTGTTATTAACTACTGTTAATACTATCCTCACACAATAAAACCTGCTCACTTTTTTTATTTCTTTCAAAATAATAGCTTAAGTCTTGAGTTTAGGTTTATTTAATTGAATACCAAAATCATTTTTGACCAAGTGCTCAAAAGTCCGATATTCATCATGTTACTTGTTGCCACATTTTTCCTTTGATAATTTTTAGCCTTTGAACTCAATCAATCATAATTTAGAACCCAAATTAAATTATAGTTTTGCAACAATAATATTGATATTAATTTCTCTATCTAAAATAAAATATCAATATTTCTGGTTGTATACTGCCACTCTTCAGCATGGGCTTTGGGTAAAATTCCTGACACCCTTTACCTATCGGTGTTTATTCCAAAATTGTGGAAAAATAAATATGTCTTTTAAAGTGCATCTTTTCATATATCCTTCTATGTTCTAACTGCTAACAGTTCTATTGGTTGTAACTATGAGTTTAAAAATATCCATATTGATATAAAAGTATTGTGATCTTTTACGTTAATTTTCTATTATACTTAACTTGAAAGGTTGAAGTCATTTTTAATTTCTTTTTCTAAGGCCGATGCACTGAAATTGGTTGTTGTTTTATGCTTGCTGCTTGATCTGAACAGTTTATTATTAGGACAAAACTTAAGTGCAGTTCCTTAAGTACTGATGGTGTTACTTATTAATCAAAATTTAAGTTTTATCTCCATAATATGCGATAATATTAAATTCAAATATTTTATTAAAATAAAACGCAAACTTTAATTGGTATTTTGCATCAGCAACACCTAAAGAACAACATATAAGGTTTGTCTTTATCTCTATCATAGGCATGGTGTTGTGGGCATTGTTATGATGATACTCTACATTTTTATGTTGTAGGATGATATCGTCGCAAGGATTGAAGAAAGACTTTCACTTTGGACTTTCCTTCCTAAAGGTAATTTGGTCAGTCCAGATCATTATTTGTCTGCTCATACTCTGATACACAGTCTAATAAATGATTGTCTTGTTTGTTGATAATCATTTCCACTAGAGAACAGCAAACCTTTGCAGGTTATGCATTATGGACTTGAGCAGGAGGGTCGTAACTTAAATTATTTTACAAACAAAACCAAATTGGAATCAAGTGGATCTTTAATGGCAACAGTTGTTTTATATCTCTCAAATGCCACTCAAGGGGGTCAAATTCTCTTTCCCGAGTCAGTGGTAAGGCCATTTCATTTCTTCTTCTTTGTGCTATTGATTTTTAACTTTGTTCCGGAGCTTTCTTTATTATTTAGGGTCAGTTTGTTTCAGCTTTTGAAAAATGTGATTTTTAGGATATATAAAAAGTAACTTAATTTTAGAGGTTTTCATAAAAATTAGAAGTTACTTTATAAAAAAAAAATAACGTTTTAATCATGAAAAAAATATCTTAAACAAACGGACTATTAATCATGTTGAATGTGTTCTCAGCCCAAGAGTAGCACCTGGTCAAATTGTAGAAATAGTACTAACATTCTCCAACCAGTAAAAGGGAACGCAATTCTGTTCTTCTCTCTTCACCCAAGTGCATCTCCAGACAAGAGTAGCTTCCATGCTAGATGCCCTGTCCTTAAGGGGGATATATGGTCTGCAATCAAATACATCTATGCAAAATCAGTTAGTAGAGGGAAGGTCTCAAACATATCTGATGGTGGTGAATGTACTGATGAGGATGATAGTTGTCCCACTTGGGCAGCCATGGGAGAATGCCAACGAAATCCTGTGTTCATGATTGGGTCTCCAGATTATTATGGTACGTGTCGGAAAAGTTGTAATGCATGCTGATCAGTTGTTGATTGTCCACCTTCTGCACATATAAATATTTTCCATTATGTTTCAGAATTCGTGCGATCGCCTTCCTCCCCTAAAACCCCTTTGCTGTTTTTTTTTTTGTTGATTGCTTCTGAGACATACATATCATGAATTTCTTATATGTTTCTTCACGACCTTTTGAAATGCACATCAAAAGGTGCTCAATACAATTGATTAAAGTTTTAAATTTAACTGAGATTTTTGTTATAATAATAATAATAATAATAATAATAATAATAATAATAATAGTAATAATAATAATAATGATAAAATAGATTTTAAGTATCTTTAATATCCTTAAATTTGATTTTAGTCCTTTAATTTATTTATTTTTTATTTTTAGTCATTATAAATTTTAAAACTCTTAAAAAATATTCTCTATTATCAATTAGCAAAATCGTAACGTACATTTAAATATGTCATTATATGTTATCTCAGAATAGTCGTTGACAGTTTAAATATGTTTTTATCTTTGTTTTAGTGAATTTTTTGTTTTAATTCTTTCAAATGGTTTTTTTAGTTTTTATTTTTTCGTAAATTTTTGTTTTTAATTTCTAATGCTGATATGATATATTAAGATATTAATACACGTTGTTTTGTTTCTTTAAGTACATGTGTTAAGAGACTAAAAATAAAATTTTGTAGAAAAGTAAGGACTAAAATAATTTTTTTTCAAGGGATTAAAACAAATTTTTTTTTATTGAAATATAGACAATATATTTATACCTAATAATAATAAAAATATAAATGATAATGATGCGTAGAAATAGTCAAACTCTTTTTTACTTAAATATTTTACGATTAAATAGAATAAATTTTGAAAAATGAGTGGCTGGATGAAGAACGTAACGAATGATTATATTGATGGACATTTTAATATATTTTATTAGGTGTATGGACCAATTTACTGACCCGTGGACCAGTTGCAGGCTAGTAATTTTTGGACTAATTTAATTGGCTTTTTTATATAAATAATATAATTTTAAAAATTATTTTTTAAAATAGAGTTAGTTAAAAACTAATTTTTGTATGAGATTTTTTTTGCCATGTCATTAGGTGTATTAGAGTTTTAGTGAATATTTTTTTTTTTTTGTTGACAATAGTATTATCTCTACTTTTGTGACTATACTGCTATTTACGTGTTCGGTGCAATACTAAATGAGATAATGTCATGTAACATTAATTTAAAAATATTTTAAATTATAATTTAATAAATATTTAAATTTATAAATTTAAAAAAAACTTAAAATTTAAATTATAAATATTTAAAATCTTAATTTAAAAAAAATTAAATTATGAATTTAAAAAATATTAAGATCATAACTTTTAAAAATATTTAAAATTATAAATATAAAAATAATTAAGATTATTTTTAAAATAATTAATACTAAAATTAAAATAAATATCTTACAATTTCTAATAATATTTTAAAAATTTATAATTTTAATGAGTTAAAAAATTATAAATTTAATTTTTATTTTTATGCATATGTCAACTAAACTTATTTTAATTTTTTTTTACTAAAAATTAATACTATAATTAAAATTGAATTGTTATTATTTCTCATTTTATTTTGAAATTTATAATCTTATTTTTAAAATATTTAATTTTATACCTCAGTCAATTATAAATTTAATATATTTTTATAAAAAATATGTCAATTAAACTTATCACAATTTTTTTTACTAATTGTTAATACTACAATTAAAATTAAATTCTTACAATTCTAATTTCAATTTTTAAAATTTATAATCTTTAATATTTTTAAATTTAAATTTTTTAAAATTATTTTTAAATAAATATCAAATGTAAGCATCTCACAAAGTATCGCATCTCACAAAGTATCGCACCTCACGCATAGATAACAATATTGCTGCAAAAGTAGAGATACTTGTTTTGTACTTGACACGTGTTATCATATGAGTAAATATCATTCTAACATGTTTGATATTATTTTAAAAAATAATAAATATAGTATCGTTTGTAGAATTCTGATATATCTAGTGACGTGACAAAAAAAAGTTACAGATACAGAAATAATTTTTAATTAACCCTATTTTGAGAAATAATTTTTAAAATTATATTATTTATATAAAAAAATCCATTTAATTTGTGGGCTAATTTGATGTTTAATAGCAATTTATGGCAAATTAGACTTGTTAATACTGAGTTGACCTTTATTGGACTTATGGACCTATTTCAAATAAATTTAGTTTTAAAACAAAATTATATATATATATATATATATATATATATATATATATATATATATATAGGTTTAACTCTAGTTTTATTTCAGTTTCATTTTTTATTTACTTTTTTCATATGTAGTCCTTAAATTTTTTAAAAAAATTTAAGTGAGTCTTTTTTGTTTTTTTGTTATAAATATTAACTTTGTTCATTTTATTTCTACTTATTAACTCTAACAAAAATAGTAATTTTTTTTATCTCTTTTATATCTCTTTTATCTTCTTTCTTTTATCCTTTATTCAAACATTGATGACCCATTTCTTTCCTTTCATCTTAAAAAAAATAAGTTTTTTTTTTACCCTTATCTTCACACCTCTTTAATGAATATCATTCTTCTATTTTATTCATGAAATTTTAGTCTATTTTTTTTTATTAAAATTGTTATTTTATTATTTAAATTGGTTAAGTTTGTCTTGATTTTTATTGTAAGAAGTGATAATGATACAATTTTGTTAAAAAAAAAAGAGTCAAATCATGGAGAAAAATTATTAAAATGAGTAAAAAATGAGTGAATTGTGTAACATCCTCATTTTTGCTCCCTTCCATGTTCACATACGATTTCTTCTTTTTCTAAAAATAATTCAATGTATTTTATGATTTTGGTTAAAGAAGTTTTGAGATAAAAAGTATATTGTATTTGTTCCAATTTATCGGTATGTGTTTGATTTTTTTAAGAGATGGATCTCAATGTTTTGAATTATTTAAAAATTTCATAATTATATTTGAGTTATAAATGTTATATGCACTAGTAAAGGTGATGTAGTAGTAGAAGGGTTTAGTCCTTAGTCAGGAGTTGGAAGTCTTTGGGTTCAAACCTTTGCAAGGTAGATTTTGCTTCAACAAGTTTTTTTTGGAATGAATTACTAAATGACCAAACTGCCCTCAAAATATCACACATGCATGAGATAGATGGCAAAACCATAAGATAGATGGCGATAGGTGGCAAAATGTAGCAAGCCCTTACATGTGTGATGACATGTGTCAACGAAGGAAGACCAGCCCTTGCATGTGTGACACATATGCAGCCATATGTTGAAAGGTTGGCAAAACTCAGTCATTCTTTCTCCCTCTTGTAAAGCTCTCTCACACTCTTTTCCGATTTTTATCTCTTTCACGGTTTCTCTCTTCTTCCCCACCACTCACCCTTACTCTTTGAACATCCAAGCAAGGTAAAAACACTCTTGCATCCTTGTTCCTTAGTATTTTCATCGATCAAAGTAAAGAGATAATGTTTTTGCACCTCCTCCATGAAAAAGTTTGGAGCTTTCTGCATCCAGCCACTGTGTGAGTTAGTTTTGACCATTTGAATGTATTTTTTTTTAGCCTAAACTCTGCATATTTGGATTGTTCAGTGAAAAATCTTTCCAACCCAACTTGTTTTACCTAAAACGGGCATCGTATTGTTGAGTTATAAGGAAAATGGTAACACTCCTTCTTATTTCTGCGTTTTCTGTGTTGCAGCGATAAGAGAGACTAAGTTTCATTTTTCTGGTCTCTGAAACTTACATGCAATTATTCATTCATTATCCTCAAAGAGTTAGCTTCCAAACGGAAGTGGTTAATTTCACTCAAAACGGACATCAGATTCACAAGTTGTTAGGAAAATAGTGATCTCTTCCTTGCTCTACATTTCTGTGTTTCAGCAGCAAAAGCGGCCACTTTTCTTGCTTCTTTGGTTTCCAAAATTGACATGCAAATATCCTTTTGTATTCCTTACAGAAATACCTTTGCAACAATATATCGTGAGCTTAAATCTGACATCGTTTGCTCCCTCAATCACTAAGAGTATGTGAGTACCTTCATTCTTACATTTTTATGTAAAAATAGTGTTAAGAATCAATTTTCATGCCCTCTGTACTGATCTCTTTCAATCTGAAATTTTTATTTTCATAAACTACATGAAGATAGCTTTCTGACGCACTATCTCAAGTTTGATTTGGAGTTTGTTTCACACCTCAATGACTTAATTCCATAAGTACAATTCAAGCTGAATTTTGCTAGTCCAACAGCCACGTCCTTGAATTTTTGGAAAAATTTTATGTAGAGAAACTGACAGGTAAACCTTCCATCTTGTTCCTTATTGTCTTAGCTTTATGACACACTTTGCAGCTCGTCGATCGGACTCCAATTGATCAAGATATGTATAAAATGGTGAGACATATGCAAAGTTCAAAGCTTCATAGAGAAAGTCTGCATTTTTCACCTTGCATGCAATCAGTTCTACATATTTCGCTTGCTAAACCTCCTTGTTTTTAACTTAACCTTATTCCTTCACACAATACGCTTCATTAGCTTTCCATAGCCACTTTCAGAGTCAAATTTAAAGCAAAGATCAAGGAGAAAAACTAATTTTACCATGCTATATCTGATTTTGAAAAGTTTAGGAAAACAGTGAAAAGAATGCATTTTTAAATACCTCTTCATCCAACTTTATGAACATTCATAAACACTTATGAAATCCTTGTAATTAGATCTTTCCAACAAGCTATCTTAAGCCCATTTTCGATCTCATTTGCTAAGTCGAAATGTCGGGACAAGTAGAAGTCTCATTTCTTAAATCAGAAGACACACTCTACATTAATGTGAGTGCTGCGACCAATATGTATTTTTAAAAATTTGAATGAGCACATTTTTATAAATCTCAATGTCTTAGCTTTTAAACAAAATTGGTTGGACTTGATTTGGATTACAAATTAATGAGATATGCAATTTTGAATGAAGTTGTCTCATAATTACGTTTTCTCTACTAACAGTAGCAAAAGTCTTCTTTTTGAACCCCTTGCATGTGATTTTATTGACATGCATTCATATACTTGTGTTTCTTATGATATAAACTTTCTATAAAGCCATCTTGTGTGCAATTTGAAGTCCATTTGATGTTTCAATGACATGCATAAACTAAGTGTCTCAAATCTGCCAAAACAATCCATGACAACCG